GGCAACCGAACCCTTGATATAGGTAGCCTTTCTAGATGAAACCTCGGTGTGGATGGTAGATAGTGTCCATTGAAATGAGCCATAAGCTTAATTTCCCAGATACGATAGCCTATATCGAGGTAACTGGAATATGGGTTTAGGGGAGGCGTGTGGATAACCACGTAAGCCCACTGAAAAGAGCGCACTCACCACATTCGGTTAGCCCTACTTTACAACCTTAGCTAGGAGGATTCGACCCTAGGCAATCATCTCATCTCTAGCATTCTCCCAACCACTTGGTTGGTTGTTTATTTTGCCTTAGGAGTAGGTTAATTTAGCTAAAACCACTCACAAGAATTCTATCCCGATTAGGTAGTAGTTCGGAGCGAAGTAATAATACACTTAGGGCTCCCTTGGAATACGACTGAGCCACTTTAGTACAACCTAGATAGGTTATACTTGGGTTAGTTAGGATTGATTAGAGAGTGTGCTTCGACTTTATAAATTTATAGCTTGATCGCGCACCGGAGCACGATCAACTATGGATTTTGGCTCAATGTCGTTGGCCAAGTTTCTGCGTAGTGGGAGCGATTTCTTGTGCACGTGAGTATCACGCAACACGGTAGAGGTTTACTTGCATAGTTGAGAATTGGAGAACGTGGGAGACAAAGACGCGAAGGCGGTTACTGCGACTACGGGCAGAAGATTGGGGTATAAATATCAGGAAGAGAGAGAAGGTGTGGACGACAAAATCAAATCACAAACTGCACCGTCACATACTTACCTTTTTCCTCTCTAGTTCGTAGAACCGCTCTGTCAAAGATCTCCTTTGCAGAGTCGTAGATCGTAGACGTAGTCGTACTCGCAGAGTTCTTCAAAGGAATCTTAATAGGAGTAGAAGTAACGAATAACTTAGAAATCCTCCTTGTTTCTTCGTTGTCGTCGAACACCCTCGTTCGAACATTGTTTGAAGAGGCGTGAACCGAGTAACGACCGTTTGGTTCTTTGATATTGTGTTCTTGTTTTTTTTTTTTTTTTTTTACAACAAGAACTTTAGACGACGATTCACATAATATATGGACTTGCTGACATGTGTACCATGTACAACAAACGAATAATGGATATTGAATTCAGGGAAGAGATTTGATTCCAGAGCATCAAACAACGCAACGTAACTTTCTTCTGTGGCCAGGCCAGGCCATGATCAGTATTCAGTAGTTCAACCCAAGAGATTTGCTTACCAGTTCTCTCTCTCTCTCTCGTCATTTTTGTTGTTTGCATCAATTTTGAGTCATATGACAAGTCCCAGTCGAAAATGTGGAGCCCATAGCGCAGTGGAGAAGTTCAACTAAAGAAAGAAAAGCACTGAATACACCAAGTATTACGCCTACTGTTCACTGCTATCTGACGCTGACATACATAGCCTTCATGCCTCCTCCTGGCCTCTTCGCTTCGCTTAGCTTAACTTGTTCGTAAATCATGACTCCCCTCGCTCAACTCAACTACCGCCCAGTTCCCACGTTAAATGCTATCACTCTATTTTCAACCTCCACCGACCAACCTAGCATGGTAACAACTAGTCCATTTGCTAGCATAGCGTTGTGAATTCGATGAATCTAAGTTCAACTAGTAGCTCGTATTACATGTTGCTCTTGGCCTGGTAAAAACCCTCTATGGGTGGTTTGATTAATAGATTTGAAAAATAAGAGTTTTTAGTAAAATCTAGGTTCTGAAAAATCATGGATATATGATGGATTTGATGACATTGTGGATTTGAACAAGTCTACTGTTTGCTTGCTGAATTTTGATTATGGATTTTGTTTGATTAGATTTGTGGATATGAAATACAAATTACCTTGTTACATTTATTGCCGTGATTATATTTCAATATTATAATCCAAAATTTTCATTAAAAACAAATCCAATACATACAAATAAATCTTAAACTCTTTACCACTTTGTGGACTAATAATTCAACTACAAATATAAAAATGTATTACAATTTGCACTAATTAAAAATTCATCTAATAATGTACACAAGGTTATGTATCAGTTGCAACCAATTGTTCGCCTTATTGCTACAACTCATCATCTTCTTGCTAACTCCGCGATTTTGAAATCCAATAGTCAATCAAATAATAATGCACAAAATGAGCATAATGTGTTTATAGTTGAATCTAACAAATTACATACACATTCATATTTAAATAAAATACGACATTACAAACAAAATGATAAATTGTCATATTTGTAAAATACAACATTATAAAAGTTTAGGGTTGCATAACCATTGATATAAAATTCGACAAATATGGAATTAAAAATAGGTAATACGTATGTATTTGTTGACTGATGGATATGGAGAAGCATTCGACATGCATCCAAGTGAGAGTATACATGACATATTGACATTCACTCTCCGTTTACCATTATGATTAATCAACTTAAAGCTCTCGGTAAGAGTTTTCAATCTAAAGATTTAATTAGGAAAATCCTTTGCACTTTTCCGAAATTGCAAAAATGGAAAACTATTGAAGAAGCTAGGAATCTCAATAAATCTATTGACGAATTAATCGGCTCTTTATCGAAGCATGCATAAAGCAAGTAGGAAAGGATGATGAAAATGATGATGGAATTTGGCTTTTAAATCTCTGGTGATATATCGTGAATTTGAAGTCGAGTCAAATACTGATTTTGGTGTGATATGTTTGGTATTTCTGATTATGTCTAAATGAAAGATATTAATATCTTTGGGTAGAGATTTCTAGTAGTTTAGTGGATCCCTTTTGGGTTGTCCACGTTGCAAGAGAATCTGATCTCAATTAAGATACATATATATCTCAATTAAGATACATGAAGGAGGTGCATTCCTCATCACTCTATCGATTAATGTTATTTGCTCTTTATAAATTATTATATTATATTGGTAATGACCGGTGTACGTCAAGCGTATAGTATACAGCAGGTGATCTAATCGTTAGATGTACTTAGATGAGCTCCGGCCAATCTCAACGGTCAATTTTTGTTTTTCATTAAATCAAACTTCGAGTTGGGGTTTAGAAAATCGGTGCCTGGAGTTTATCCATTAGAGGTTAGGGTATAGTATCATACCCCAAACTCGATTTAATTCATGGTTTATATAGAGTTATCTCACTGGTAGTACCTGACATATAGTATTTTCTTTCGAGGAAATTTTCAAGTGGTCATCAGAGATGCTTGAGAGAGAAAGTCTTCCCTCGAGAGCCCGCTCCATTCTAAAGGAAGTTTTTCTTTCTCTCTTCTCACCCCCAGTGGCAGAGCTGTTCAAGGCTGGGGGTGCTTGCAGCCCCTTGGAATTTGTGGAAAAAATTACAAGGGTATGTGGTATCGAGCCCTCTAATGTGCCAAGCAACAGTCGCTTGCTTCACCATTTCAGTTGGTTAAGATTTTGATTGTATAGTGGACTTTTACTTATCAAAAAGTGGTTCAAAAATTGAAACCTGCAACTGAAAGTGTCCCAAGAATTGTAAAACCAAATTTGCCTGACAAAACCGTACCAGAGGTTATACCGAAAAGTCAAGTATATAGTATTTTGTGTTGAAAGTCTAAAATAGTGATTTAATTATGGTTCAACCATTTCATACCACTAAATATCGCCTGATAGTTAGACTCCAGTATAAGGTTTTACTGTCGAATCTCCAATACAGTACCTTTCACAAACAGTGGATTTTCTTCTCGTCGGCGCCCCTACCATTTTATTTTTGTTTTTTGACACAACCAGACACTAAACTAACTTCGAGGGCTTGTCCATTTTCCTCTAAGCTCTTCCCCTCTATGGCAATCAGCTTGCCATGGATCATTTTCATCTATAAAATATATAAAAAAATTATCTTTGAAACTGGATGAACGATGAGTGGTTGAATGGCGCGTTGATAACATATATTGAACAAGATTTGTTTGCTAGTTTAGACTAGGAAGTATTCTAAATTGTTTTCAAAATATGAAATCTAGTCGTGGTTCGTTGTAAGCGATGTGCGTCAAACTATTAATCTGTAATTGTACGAATTTTATGTATTATGTTGTTGACTTTTTATTTCGTTTAGAGTTTATTTTTCTATTATATAATTGAACTTTTACGATATGAAGAACGACACCCCCTTAACCAATTTTCTGGCTCCGCCACTGCTCACCCCCTATGGCAGTCTCATGTCATTTTGCTCCTCGGAGCTTCCATAGAGCTGCCCAACTCGTGGCATAACAGACTCTTTTATCGGGAGTCCGGTTGCATACGGACTACCGTTCTTTATTATTGTCAGTTTTATATTGTTGTTGTCCGGCCATACCTTAGGGGCTTATCTTGAATAAAAAAAAATACTGATTTTAAGAGATAATTAGTATTGGTGAGTAAAAAATTCGATTATAGGTTGAATTTGAAAACAATAAATCATAGGTGTTATAAGACTAATTGAAAACAATAACCTGAAGTCGGACTAATAGTTTGTACAAGCATATATACATCACAAGTTAGGCTGCAACCTCTGAGGACCAAGTTAATGAAATATTATTTAATGATATAATTGTGGTTCAAACCGCAGAGTACCTATAATTTATTATTGTTTAAATAAAGTTAGAATAAGTTAATTAACATATTCATTCAGTTAATACACTAGTATGTTATTGACAAAAAAAAACCAACCAATATACCGTGGATGGGGGATTCGATTGCCCTTGTATCAATTGGTACGAATTACTACTTACTCTGCCGATTACTTATTAGTGTCTTGCTTCTCATATTTTCTTTCTAATAAAAATTGGACATGGGTTAGAGCGTTTTAATTTTGGACTTGAGCTAGATAGTTGCATCGAAATGTAAAATGTAACGCTTGGAGAGGGATAATATATAATACCCGTTCTTAGATGGGGTTTGGTACTCATCAGTCATCAGTGAGAAAGGCTAGTAATTATTAATTAATTAATTAATTTAGAGAGCCGACTAGTTAAATTAACGCTAATTGAGGAGGATTAACTGCATGCATGCAAGCAAGCATGTTTAATTCACCATAATTAAACCAATTGCCTTCCACAACAATATAATAATAATAATAATTATTAATACAGATGCTTGCGTTGGGTTGACATAAAACTTGTCCTTAATTTTGGTGGGCTTCGATAAGTTCACCCACTTAAGAAGAAGAGTGAGCTTGACGATGCTGAAGAAGACGACGAGGCAGCCGTGCCTTGATGATACGGCCTTTGCTTGAAGCAGTCCAGAAACATCCTGGGAGGCGACACAGCCACCGTCACCGACGACGAAGATTGAACACCGGAGTCCGACGGCGGCGACCCTGCGCCAGCAAAGATTTTTCAAAACGCAGGGAAGTAATAAGATAGCTAGCTTAATTAATTATATGGATTCTGTTGATGATGATTATCCTCACTTGCAGTAGTGAGGTTATGAGCAGGAGAGTCGTCGGCGGGCCCGGTTTCCTTGAGTGCCGCTGCCGCCTCCTGGCTCTGCTGCAGGGTGTTAACGGCGTTCTGGTGCGACTTTCGCCTGCGACGGTTGTGATCCGCGAGTCTCTTCCTGCAGCTCCGCTTCCCGTTGTCGAACTCCGTCAGAACATGGAATCTGACCAATCCCAAAAAAGAAACCGGTTAACTTGAGCCCCCAAATGGATGTGGAGGGTGTTTCCGTCATTTCGTTTCGCGCGAGCTAGAAGGCAAACAAACAAACAAGGAGACTCTGACTGGGCTGGGCTTGGGAGCAAAATCCACTAAGCAACAAAATAGTACGTACGGTACGTTACATGCTGTGTTGTGCTGTGTATTGGAGATTTTGTTTGGAGTAGGAGACAAAAACGAAAAAAAAAATCAATTTCAATTATTTTGTTTGAATAAAGTAAAATTCAAACAAATAAGGAAGAGAGAGAAGATTGGTCTACGGACGGACACAAATGCCCTCGGGATTGCTCCCCGTACGGAGGCCACCAATGGCTGCTCTGCTCTCTCGATTCTCACTCAGCTCCCCCCTGAGCCTGGGACTGAGGGGGCCAATTAGTATCTCTGTCATCTCAAGACTAGCAACAATATCAAGCTTCCTAGAATTTGGAGATGAAGGGAAAGGTGTGGGAGGGGATAGCTACCTGCTACACTGCTGACAGAAGCGCTGGGTGAGGCCGGCGGCGACCACCGTGGAGGCCTTGGAGTGGAACTCGCAGACTTTGTGGCGGCGGTGGTAGTGCTTGGCGTGGGTGAGATCGGCGGTGCAACCCTCCGCCTGGCACCTGGGAGGGTTGCTCGCTCCGCCGCCGCCGCCGCCGGGCTCAAGCGACCTGCGGTACAGCCGGCTGACGAAATCGTCTTCCGCCGAGGAGAAATAGGTCCGCCCGCCCAAATTGAGGCCCATCCTGAAGCTGAGATGATGCGGGTCTCCCACTTCCTCGGACTTGGGCACCAGGAAATAGGGGTTATTATTATTGGCGGAGGAGATCTGGTCTAAGGAGAGGAAGGAGTGATGAGGAGGCGGGTAGGCGGCGCCACGTGGGTCGAAGAAGGAAGTGGTTTGGCTGCAGGGGAACAAGGCGGAGGAGGGCGGGTGCGGTGGAAGCTGCAGCTGGTGGTGATGCGCAGCGGCCGAGTAATGGTCGAAAACCTGGCGGGTCGGGTAGTCGGGCTGGGCCGGGGCGGGTTCCTCTGATCCCTCCTGATCAAGCATCATTGCCGATGGGTTCGCCGCCCATTCGTACTCCAACATTGTTTCGACCCGGCAGCAGTCAGTCAGTCACAAATAATCTGGAAAAGAGAGAAAGCAGAGGAGCGGGGAAGGTGTTTGATAATATGCCACAGAGAGAAAAGTAGTGTTGAGTGCAGAGATGATGTGTTTGAAGTCAATAACTCACCCACCACTGATACACAAAACACAGGGTGCAGTTAGGGAGGCAAAAGCAGTTGTGAAAAGTGGCCGCCGGGAGAAGGGAGCAGATTTCGAGGAACCGTATTAAATCTCTCTCTAGATCTATATATAGTGTGTAGGGAAGGGAGGAGGCAGGATGGATCAGAAAGTTGTGGAGTTGCAAAGCTATAGTAAGTGTGCTTTTCACACATAGAAGGAGAATGTCGCTGTAGCTGGGCTTTGCTTTTGGGAAGGGCAGCTGCTTGATGATGGTGGCTGGGTGGGTGGGTTTTTGTGTTTCAGGAATTGGGTGCACACATTATTAACCCCCTTTTATTTAAGGCAAGATAGGGTGGAGACTGGAGACTAGAGTTGTTGAGGAAGTTAAACAATAGATGACAAGAGTTCACTTCTCTCTCTCTCTCTGTCTGTCTGTGCGAGTTTAGAGGGGGAAGGGGCAGTACTACCCGCAGTAGCGTCTTTACCTTGGCTGCTGATCGATGAGTCACTCTTTCCTGGTTGCTTTTTAATTGGCCATCAGACTGAGGCTCTGAATTGAGCGGGGAGTTGGATATTTCAGCTGCTTACCTGCTGCTTTCTTGGTTAATTAATTACGTTATATGTAAAATAGGCGATGTATTTACGTAGCGGTAGAACTAGCAAATTACCATTCGATATGTTGACCCGACCCGAATCAACCCGAAAAATAGAAGATTCTATAACGCAAAACTCGAATGACCTCAACCCGATTAACTCATGATTTTTTTGGGTTGGGTTGGGTGGGTTAGCAGGTCTATAGCTATTTGACCCGTTCCATTTCGTATGTCAATCCCAAAATGATAAATCACTCATAAATTAGTGAGATGTTTACAAAAATTCACAAGGATTTGAAAAAACATGTTTGGAGTTTAAGGATAATCAAATATCTTGTGTTTCTTGTAGTAGTATTACTCTTGTGATTGTTTTTTGACGATTTGTGCAATTCATATTTCATTTCATTAGCATAGGGAATTTGAGAGTATGTTAATTGACATGTTTTAGGTCAATTATTAGCATGCATATGTGAATATTCTTGTTCTTTTAAAAAAATGTGAAACATGTTTGATATTATTTCTGAGTGCGCCGATAACCCGAAATGACATGTATCCCAATCCGAAATTCAATGAATTGGGTCAATATTTAATTCGAAATTAGCCAACACAACATGGCCCGACCCGCAACAGGAGGCACCAACCCGATCGGATTTCCAGGTCTATATAGCACGGATATGTAGACTAGAGAGGCTGATAACTAAAGAAGCCAACTAAATGGTTAGTGGTGGAGTAAGGAGGGGTTATTCATCGATTAAATCTTTTATCTAAATTTATAATATGTATATTCATAATTTAAGAGAATTTTAGAAAGTAGTAGGATGAGTTTATTAGTCCCCCTACGTTATGGTTACTTGTCACATATTGCTAGGGATGTGGAATTTTTTTAAAATTTAAGTTAAAACAAAGAAGATAATAGTTCATTAAAAAACAAGAAAAAATAAAAAATGACTTTGGTCTCGCCTTTTAGAATTGACCGCACTTAAAATCAAGCGTCCAAATGTAGTTATCCAATGGTTATGCAACCAATCTTGGACCTCGTATATGCACTCGATTGGGGAGAATTACAGAAATATTATGAAGATTAAAAAATTTACCACGAATTTGGTGTTAAAAATGTATTTCATGAATATTATTATATTGAGATGCATATGTATGGACCTATGCATATCGAGCGAAAGTATGACGGTTTAACTCTATTTGCACAGCTTCGTTCTTATCGAGCGAAATATAATACTCATAGTTTAGTATCGAGCGAAACATAATACTTTTAATGCCATATGAATTCGCATATGATAGCTCGTCGTCATCTTCATTAGCTTCAAAATAATAATCCGGAGGATCATTAGACTCTTCTATTTGTTCTTATTCCTCATTTCTTTGATCGTCTTCCTTCTTTTTTTTTTTTTATCTAATCGTAGTCATGGCACGAATTTCATTTTTTAGGAAAAGAAAAGGCTTGGGGATTGATTGTAGGAGACAAGAGAAAGCATCGGAGATGAGAGAGTGAATGATTTTTTAATTTTTATTATAATTTTGAATAAAAATAATATAAAAAATTTCATATAAGATGCCATGTCAATGCTACTAAATTTTTTTATAATACTATCCGTCAACACCGATCAACACTAAGGAAAAACAATTAATACTAGAATTGTCAATTTGAATACTTTATAATAAGTGACATTTTTGGGATAGTTGTGATGTTTTAGTGGAATTAGCTCTTGACATTTTTATGTTTGATTTGAATTTATCTGTGGATTTTTATGCTTTTTTAGTGTTTAGGGATTATTCATGGATAATCAAAAGTGTTTCAAATAATTGCTTATCAAATTTAGTGTCTTGGATTTGTGGCACATGATTTTTTTTTTCTATTAAATAATAAGGACAAGTCGAACATGATCTAAAACACGAGCGTGCTTTCGACCTATCACAAACCCGAAACTTGGCTCGGAATTCTCCTGTTTTGAGTTTTGTCCGGTGGCAAACTCTGTGTGAATAATGCACAATACAGTAGGTGAATTGGTGAATAGTAAAGGTAAAAAAAAAAACCTTTTGGTAGCTATGCAATACTGTGCATACCCGACTCAGTCGTCTATGTGTGATTGGCAAATGCAAATCAGCAAAGTAAGGAAAATCATGCAAATCCAGAGGAAAGTATATGACAAAGATAAGCCTTGTCAAAATCTAATATAACTTGCCTAATAAAACAAACTGAAATTTTAACCGTCAACCAAAAGAAAAAAAAAATACCAAATAAAAGAATACACAGAAAATACCCGCATAATTGCTTTAAGGATTGGGGTAATTTCTGTGTGGGCGCACACATGCATGTTTTTCTTTAGTTTTTTTTTTTTTTTTGGTGTTTTTGGTGGTGCAGAAGAGAAAGGGAAGAGAGGGATAAATAGTGGACGGTCAGGAGGGAAGAAAGGAAGTTTCTCATAATTGACCACTCAAAACAATAAAAAGACAAACCAAGCTTTCAACCAAACCTCCCGCCTGGCCCCCATCTTCCAGAAAGACTCAGCAGCTCCCTCCCTCCTGCCTTTTCCTCGTTAGCTTCCTCTTCCTCAATCGCTCACTCTGTTGTTTTGTAATGCGCATTCTCATTCATGGTTCAAAAAGACACGCTTAATTTTACGATTAGCTACGCCTAGGTGCAAGGCAATGGTAAAATAGGGATTTCGCACCTGATTAGATATTGGAACACGTTAATAGAGTACGTCGACATATAAGTCTCTCCTAAACATTACTAGATGGAGCTAAGAAGTCGATATTAACGACCAAAATTAATATCAACTATGAAACCAATTTTCTATTGCAATATTTTCAATAGCTCAAGAACTTTGTGAGCTATTGACCTATGATTCTATGAACTCGTGAGCTATGTTATTGTCATTAAGTGTTGAGTAAGTTATTAATCATTTTAACTGAAAGTGAGGAAGTGTTGTAGATTATTATTTCATTAATCATGCTATTTTCTTCCAACGCTTAGACACGCTTAGTCTACGCCTAGGCGAGCCAGGCGCAAAGCAAAGGCTCAACGCCCACCTTACGTCTAGCGTTTTTTTTTTACCTTGCTTTCATCTCATCTCATAATCAACTCTCAGTGGGTTTAAGAAAATTTTTATGGAAAATAAATTCAAAGAGGGCAGATATAATCAGCGACGACTAGTTTTGGGGTGATCATTATTATTTATTCACCATGCAATTAACGTCATAATGACGTGTAGGATCACAAGCTGACGCGCGAGGCAACAAAACAGAAAGAAAACAGTGGGAAACCAAAAGGGAAGGAAGGAGGGTTGGCCGGTTGGGTTTTGTTTCTTTCTTTCTTTTCCAATGGGCTGCTGTATCTGTAATCTGTATGTAAACCATGTGGGGAACTTGCAGGTGAAGAAAAAGAGAAAGGAAAGCAAAATATATCAATCAATGAATGACCCAAGGGGCCCGGGCCGGCGGGCCGGACCTGACCAGAAAACAAAATGGGTTACTTGCGTTACATTAAATAAATGGTATCTACTGGACCCACGCCCGAAACTTGCTGTCCTTTTAAGTGAAAAAGCCTTCAATTCAGATGGTCCCTCCCCTCCATGAAACTAACACCATTATTCACTGACATCGCCAATTCCCTGTGGGGAAGAAAACAACAACAACAGCTAACATCAGATTGTGAAACCCTCACAAACACACACACACCATGACCAAGCAAAAACCAAACTCTCCCTGCATCCCCACTGTAACGCAACAACACATGCCTTCACAAACATAAACCTCCCTCGGCTTACTTGTCAATTGAATCAATTGTTTTAGACTAATAAGTAAGGTTGCGGAGTAAATGATATATTCGATACTGCAAGTATTTCTTAGTGAGATTTCTATATCCAAAACATAAGTTAAATTGAGTTTTGTGAACTTGAACTTAGATCGGTTGAAGGTATGGTTGTTGCGTACGCTCTCGTCACAGAAACCAGAGGAGAGCACGAAAAATTCTGCAGCGACTCTTCAGGGAACAGATCGAACACCCCCTCTACAGCCATACAAAACTCGATCGACCCTCACCTTCAACAAAGCAAGCAGAAACAATACTATTCCTCCATTTTCTCCTCGACCACGAACATTCAAACATGATATGCTCCTGGGATTCATACAAACCGCAGAAAGAGCATTCATTCAGACACACGTTTGATTCAAAACAAAGCATAAATACATGATCCTTGGCATGTGACCCCGACGATGATTAACTACTCGTCCCCTTTGATTCCCTCAACCCTTAAACAAAGACAACGTAACGATGCTCCAAACTTGTCTATCTTTAGCAAGTAACTAGCCTCACCCGACGAATGGACTCAACTAACTCTAAAAATTTCTAATGGACCGAATCAACACTTTTCAATGCGGCTATAACTTTAATTAAATGCTTCTCTCTTCTGGCGACTTTAGGTTCGAACTCTACTGACATATCCTCCCTTGAACAGGAGGCAGTCAACAAGATTCAGTTCACATAATCTTTAACTTTCAACAATGGTAACCTCTACAACTTCAATCACCCCAAGATCGCTTCGGTGACACAAAATTTTCAAGCTTCAGTGTTTTACTCATCAGTCATCACATTTGCAACTTGTTCTTGGTTACACGGTGCACCAGTTCTTCCTCTGTAAGCTTCATGAGAAAGTGAAATCTCACATCTATATGGTAACTTCTTTGGTGAAGAACTAGATTCTTTGAAATCTTAATAAATTCAGAGTTGTTGTCACTAAAGATTCTTGTAGTTGCTTTCTCACTTCAGCTGTCAAACTACGCGAATCGTATAATACATCACAAAGAAGGAACTATCGGTACTACAGGAAAACTCACCTTCAATCACGGGATTTCCCGTCACGAAACAGTCAATTCCCGTTATTGAAGGATTTTGTCACGGATATTTCCCGTGTCAAGCATGCCCGTGATTGAATACCAATTGTCACAGGATATCCCATGACTATAAAGATACAATAACGGGAAAATCTCATGACAAATTATATGTTTAGTCACGGGAATTTCCCATGACTAAGTATTAAACCGGGAATGTTACCGTGACTAAAGTAGAAAATGATCACGACATATCCCGTGGCTAAATAACTTATTTGTCACGGGAATGTGGATGTTATAAGCGCCCACTTGCTTTGAAGACGTCATAAGGCCTTTGCGTAAAAAAAGGAACATTGGTCATTGTACTAATTGGGTCGATTGTGTGCCCTGTACGTTTGATTTTGGGTTGAACCTTAACCCAAAAATTGTGGTGTTACATTGACCAGAACCTTGCAATCCGAAACAACCTCTGTAAAGACTGGATTGACAACCACCAATCTGCACGCTTCCAGGAGAGCTTTCGCCTCCACCTCAATTGATGAAGAACAAACGAATCTTCCTGCCCGTCCATCACAAATCTGTCCATTAGGGTTGGTAATAACTACCCCGAAAGTCTCCTTCTAAGAATCATATTAACAAATGATATGTCACATTGAATCCTTTTACAGGGAACACCATGCGGTGGAGAAGATGGTTGTGGATTATCCCTACTCATCGGGAATGTGAGAGAACCTCCAAATACATGTTCGTTCCTTGCTTCCCAAATGTTCCAAAGGCAGAAGAATTTTTGCCTATTGGAATGGAAAGGTTCCGACGACTCTTTCATCGCGAAAATCCATTGCGTAAGGTTTCGAGGAGGGGAAAAAGCCGAGACAACATGATTCCAAGTCTCCACAGAATGAGGGCAGGTGAAAAGGTAATGGATCTCTGTCTCCACCGCCTCCCCACACAGTTGGCATCTGGGATTGGGAGAGCATCTTCTGTGAAAGAGATTGAATTTTGTTGTCAAAAGTTATTGTTATAACCGTTACAAACTTGAAAGTTGTGAGTCTTGTGACCATTGAGGTGTATTTTGTATAATATATTTAACAGTTGTCTAACTATGTATGACGAGAAAGGGCAAATTTAAAAAATTGCTGAAAAATTACTGAATGGCTAAACGTCGCCCTAACTTTACTATTATCGCCCTAATTTGAAATATAAAAATACTAAATTACCCTTCATTAATCAAATTAAATTCAACAAAACAATCAACTTCTGAAATCCCTAATCCTTCATTCATCCGGGCTAGTTCTACATGACTGATTGCTCCACGGCCGGAACCGGAGGATAGACCGGCCAATTAATATGGAGGAAACTTGAATAACAATGGACATGAATGCCAATTTCCCTCTTCCCACCCAGCGACATCAACATGGATGCCAATTTCCTTCACTTCCTGCCCCCAAAATCTCTAATTTTCACCGCCCATCACCCCGCCACTTTTAATGCTAACTACTACTAAACAGTTACATTGATCAAGTTTCTCGCCGCAGCCGGGAGAAGTCCACTAGCGGGGACGAAACTCCACCGCCAACGCAGCAGCTTACCCTAAAATAACAACTTTGCCGGAGAACGTAGAGGTGAGGTTCTGGCGGTGGTAAAAAAAGCGAGCAAACAGGATGTTGGCGGCGGGCGGTTGAAAATCAGGCGCCGAGTCAAATTTTTCCAATTGTGTTTTAATAAGGGTAAATAGGTAATTTTAATTAGGGCGATTATAAAACTTAGGGCGACAATTAGCAACCCTCAAAAATTAAGGGCCAAATTAGGAGAAAAATTAATTCACATGTTGAAATAGGGAAAACATCATATTTTTGGGGGGTGGATAGTAATATAATGTCTTGATTATAATAATAATAATACTCAGGCTTATAGTCACTGTAAAATTCAAAATTTTAAAAAATCATTATCTATGATAAAATATATGAAAGGTATATATAGAAGGATAAAGAGGGCTGGCGAATGAGGTTTACATATAGGAGCTTGAGAGAGGTGGGATCGGAAGAGGACCCTATCTAACTAAGTGAACTATCTTATTATTCCTCTAAGATAAAGAGTACCAAAAGAAGCGAGTGATTACTACAAGAAAGGAAAGGAATCCATTAGATCAATTGAGACAAGAGTAGGCTAAGGCCTTCTCCTCACTCAGCTCCTTTGCCGTGGCATCCATCTTTTCCCTTGAGAAGTCGTCAATCCGCAATCCTAAAAACATGGCACCACTTATACTTACGATCATTACAAAAATCATACGACATGTCAGCAGCTAGAAAACTCGTCAGTAACCTAACTAAAACCCTTATGTATTATGCAACACAAATAGAATCATTTTATTCCAACTATCTGGGAGGAGAAGAAAAAATTTGGATGACAGTATTTGGTATTTTTTTACCTTGGACTATGGACCATTTCCCATTGTCGCAGGTGACAGGAAAGGAGTAGATAAGACCCGCTGGAACTCCATAGGATCCATCTGAGTACACTCCCATTGAAACCCATGTCCCCTTGTTTGTTATATTTTCAGGTAGGTTGCCCAGATCAGAAGAGAAAAAGAATATTAATTCAAATCATTCCCACCAAATCAACAATCAATAATATATCTTGCGCTGGCTAGCTGGCACTGCACAATGTAGTAAAAAACGAGTTTCTACGTAGAAACGGCTTTTTGCGCACGTACCTTGGGTGTCCCGAGTACCCAATCCCTGATGTGATCACAAGCGGAGCTGGCAGCAGAGAGCGCGCTGGACAACTTGCGAGCCTTGATGATCGCCGCGCCGCGTTGCTGGACGGTGGCGATGAAATCACCGTTCAGCCACGGGTCGTCGGCCACGAGCTCCCTCACCGATCTATCCTCACCGTTGCAGCTTGTTCGAACCGTGGCATGGTTCACGTCCGGGTACTGGGTGGAGGAATGGTTCCCCCAGATGATCACGTTCTTCACGTCGCTGACCTGCGCCTTCACCCGCCCGGCGATCTGGCCCAGGGCCCGGTTGTGGTCGAGGCGGGTGAGGCATGTGATGTTGTCCGGCGGGATGGAAGGCGCGAACTCCTTGAGGATGAGCGCGTTGGTGTTGGCCGGGTTCGCCACCACCACGACTTTGCAGCCCTGGGCCGCGTTCTTTTCCAGCGCCGAGGCTTGCGCCTTGTAGATGGAAACGTTCCTCGACATCACGTCTTTCCGCTCCATGCCTTCTTTCCTCGGGAACCCGCCAACCATCACCGCCACCTTCACGCCTTTGCACGCTTCCGCCACGTCCGTCGTAGCCACCACGCCTGATTCATCGCATTTTGTTCATGGTTTTTTTGTGAGGTTTTTTTTATTTTTTTATTTCAATCTATCACAATGTATAGACAGAGAAAAAGTGACTACATGCGTATGCAATGCGGTCAAAATCGCGATTTAAAACTTAAAAGCTTACGATTTTACTCTTTTAGGTCACCAAAAACGCTTTTGTTTCCATATAAAATCTTTAGCGTATAAAATCGGAGTAAACTGCGCTTTAAAGCTTAAAATCTTATGGTTTTTTTACGATTCTAGTTTGTCAAATCGCTTTACGCTTCTAGTTCACTAAATGAGTATTCTTTTAATGAAATTAATTATTAAAAGTTTTATTTTAAACGTATATCACGAGCAATGTGATGAATTTGAGAGTAAAAGATACATATCAGGTACTTCGATGCATCCTCAGCTTCAATAGAGTAATCTAGTTCACCAGCTAGACTCTTTCCAAATTCATTAGCATAGAAGGGAAGGTGACTTATTGTTAAGACCTATATTTACGAACTTATTTTTTTTTTTTGATGAATATATTTACGAACTTATTGTTAAGGTGCTATGAGTTGCTCTGCTTTAGAAATGAATTGCATGTATTTATTAACTTATCTAAAATTATATGCGCACTCATATTTCACATAGTATATATGTCGTACTTGACAAATTTTAAACTATTTTTACCGTATGCATAAAAAAACTTACTGTTTTTACGCTTTGATTCTACGCTTTACGATTTTACCCATTTGTTGTTTCTATCTAGAATCGCGTTTTTCACTGCATTGCATGTATGTATGATCTACGACCCTGAATCGCTGATACTTTATTTGGACCTTTGAGGAGCGGGAAAGCAGCATCGAGCAGTTCCATCTGCACACCCTTGAGAGCCTCGGCAGCAGGCTCAATGTCGAGCATGTGAAGGATTACGGGCTGGTCAGGGCCGAGCATGACTCCTCTTGCAACCATGGGGACAATTGCGTACCCAATTTGCCCTGTGCGTACACAGAAGAGGAGGAACGTAACCCTAAAATTAAGTTTACCTAGTCCATCTGAAATGGCAAAAAGGGAGAGTACTGAGATGGATGAGTTGGTACCAACCAGCAGCTCCAGTGACGAGAACCCTTACTGGATCTTTGCTCATTTCTTGTTTCCTTTTTTTCCTGCGCGCAAGATTGAACTGTCCGTAGAAAAGTATGTGATAATTAAGTATGGAGGTAGTTGTAGGAGTAGTCACAAGTTTAGTAGTAATTAATAAGCTGGATCAGACGGATTGTTTGGTTATGAATGGTGACTAAGTTTAGGGTCCCAAAAACGGGAAAATGGATCTCGATACAGAAACCAGATTCTATAGTGTGACTAGTCAAAATCTTCCCCATGGTCTCGCCTCTCTTTTCGCAAGCCAGACAACTTAAACAAGTTGACTGATATTTTTGGAGTTGCACGGCCTATGAATATGTGGATTAGTTTCTTTTATGTGATTACACTACTTTTTAATGTTTGTCCATTCTTCTTCTCGTCTCTTTTATAGTGGCCCTATTTAAGGTAGGATCTCCTTCACTACTATACTTGAAAGTTGGATAGCAGGTGTAGTCAAGAAAGTGTGTTTGAATGTAGTTCATGATTGGTAGTAGTTTGGAAGAAGATTAGTTTGGTTTTGGCCGATACTAGTGGCCGTTGCTTGTAGGGAAGGTTCTATTCGAAACCATAGAACCTTCTGTTGGTTTTAGTTTGAAGATGTGGAACCTCATGCTATGTTTGCCACCATCCAAAACAAAAGCATTTTCCTCATGTCCAAGACAATAGCCAATCATATGAACCCGACCTCCGCACGAGCAAGTGACGACAACCATCTTGTGAACTCTAACATTTAGAGGTTACTGTCGTGGTGAAGAGACGATAGGGCTAAGTGTTAATGATGTGCACCTCTTGCATCAAATTGCCCTGACCCCACTGGTCGAGAGTGAGTGATTCATTCACATTTTGCATGTTCATATCTTTGATGCGGAACGAGACTTCGCGCACCGGTGATCTCGAGCAATTTAGCGAAAGAACTAGACAACACAATAAAAGAACTACTTTTCTCTACTAACTACTTATACTTTATTCATCGACTTAATAAAACGAAGAGCAAAGGTACATATTTATAGGACAAGTCCCACAAACCCCTTTCCCCTTAAGACAAGGAAACCCAAACCCAAAGCAACAAGTAAACGAATACTTCCTAAACAAGATAGGTAATAATAATCCTAGACCCAAACTAATACGAATAACCCGAATAATAACCGAATATCCCAACACATAATAATAATAATAAAACAACAACAATAATAATAATATTGATGGGCTCGGCCCAAGATGCTGTCACGCATCAATCCTCCCCCCTTTTAAGAACTTCGTCCCCGAAGTTCAGGCGCCATCTCAACCTGGATCGATGAAGAAGAATCGCTCCCATGTGTTGATGACAACAAAGAGAGTGGATGCCTGTCGATCTCGTTTACGACGCTTCCAATTACGTTCCGGGACTTGAACGAATTCTCCACCATTGCTGCGGATTCCAGCTTCTTTCACCTTCTCACGTATTGCATGGAAGTTCCACTCAACTCCCTCTTTCCAACGCCGTTCACCATGTATCCCTCCAGCCTGCCGACCATGCATGGGGTAAAGAACCATAAATTCTCCCTTCCTACGTACTCCTTGTATGGCATTGTGGGGAGTCAAATAGTCAACCTCCAAGGCTTCTCCCCCAACGGCAACGTACGCTTGGTCGTTGATCATCCCGTAGCCATCATGAAATTCTCGACCCCGTACATCTTCATATCCTCCCGTCAAGTTGTGCATGCTCGGGAAATCACATCCGCGACTAGGCCCCCTCACGATCGTAGGATGCGAGAGCCATGTAACTGAATGTAGGCTCCGCGAGACTTGGACTTGTGACATTGTCCTCATCAGCCTCTCCCTCTCGGCGGGGTTTTCTTCAAAGTCTTGCCTATGGCTTTCATGACTCACCCCGTACAAGAGCCCATGGGTCAGCCCTCCAATACGTAGCCCGAGTCCGTCGAACTTCATTTGATAACGGACCTGCTGTTCGCGGCTCGATCCATCACCGAATGATGGTTCAAACTCATGGCTCATTGAAGTTGCACTCCCGTCGTCGAACCCTTGCTTGCCTCCAGGCGTGAGTGGTCGGCCAGTCCCCTTCCTCACGTCCCACTCCTCCCTGCCATCTTCAAACCCATTGTGCAAAATACCCTTACTTCGCTCATGTTTACCCGTCATCTCCCTTATCGGCTTCGGCGCGTAATTCACAAGACCATAAATTGAACTAACCACTCCTGTCGTCACCCGCTCCAGTAGTTCGCCGTCCTCCGTTTTGTTAATCAATGGAGGCGCAACCACTATTGTTACGTTGGTGGCCCGTGGCGGTGGAGCATCAAGGGCAAAGGCTTCATCTTCGTCCTGGGCCTTCTCCAACACGACAATGGCTTCCTCTCGCAGCGGCAAGGATTCACGGGTGGCTTTTGCAGCAGCTTTACGTTTCTTCCTCTTCTTCTTGCGATAGAATCGCCTCCCCCTTTTAAGGCGGATGGCTATGCACAGCGCCGGCGAGGTGGGGTCTCGTGGCGTCGCCGTGATTGGTGTTCCCTCAGGCAGCGACGGTGGTGCGATGATTCTCGTTGACGTCGCGGTTGCTGGCGGGGTGGCGGGGACGACAACATCAACTGCAGGGAAGACTTCTTTCAGCTTCGACTCCAAGGGCTCAGCCGTTTGAAGAATCGGGTGACCTTCTCGATTGCGGCGTCCTGTCCTTCTAGGCGTGACGTCACTATCTCGTGAACTCTCGGCAGCAGCTGTAGTCTTGTTGTCAGAATTAATGGCTCCTTGCAACGTGACCCAGGAGCCTTTGTATTTGAAACGCATGGTCGCCTTCTTCCAATCGAAAGATATCGGACTTGCTAGCTCAAGCCATTGACAACCAAGAACAACATTGGTTTCACGTAGTGGCAGCTCGTACAAATCAACTTGAAGTTGTATCCCCTGTATTTCAATTGGCACCGCTTCGTAATATCGTTGGCACAATAGGGAACCCCCATTAATTACCTTAACTTCGAAAGGCGCGATTGCTGTAGCTCTCAAGAACAATCTCCCGGCAGCTTCGCGGCTCACAAAATTGTGCGAGGATCCACTATCGACGAGGACGGCAGCTGATTCTTGATGGATGGTGGTGTCGAAGCGGATGATCGTCGGCTTGAAAACGCCGGTGAGAGCGGATAGCGAGATCTCTGCTGCGGCCAGAATAGGTGATTTATCCGGCGGCTCGTCAATCTCGATCGGCGGTTCTCCATCGACAAGTTGTAGAACTTCATCCTGCGGCAATCTTCTGCATCCTTCGAATCGCCTTTGGATGATGTCCAACATCACGTCGGTTTCCGTCAAGCGTGCCCTGTATGCGAGCGTCGTCGAGCTCGGTTCGTCGGAACGTCTCTTCATTCCTTCGCTTGGCAGGAATGGCCGATCCTCTCTCAACGGTTGCTGGACAAGAGCAGTTGATGAAGCGTGCCCTGGGAGCGATTTCGAGCTCGGTTCTGTCGAACCAGGCTCTGATACCAATTGATGCGGAACGAGACTTCGCGCACCGGTGATCTCGAGCGATTTAGCGAAAGAACTAGAAAACACAATAAAATAACTACTTTTCTCTACTAACTACTTATACTTTATTCATCGACTTAATAAAACGAAGAGCAAAGGTACATATTTATAGGACAAGTCCCACAAACCCCTTTCCCCTTAAGACAAGGAAACCCAAACCCAAAGCAACAAGTAAACGAATACTTCCTAAACAAGATAGGTAATAATAATCCTAGACCCAAACTAATACGAATTACCCGAATAATAACCGAATATCCCAACACATAATAATAATAAAACAACAACAATAATAATAATATTGATGGGCTCGGCCCAAGATGCTGTCACGCATCAATCTTATCCCGGTGAAGACCTAGTTTGCTCATTCGTCTATTCCTAGGGCTTGATCTTTATGCATGGATAATTGCGGTTTGTGAGTGGTTTTGTCAAGGCATGTGTTGGTTTGTGAACAGATTGAGACCTTTTCATTTGTACGTTCCTAATGCATTCTTATGTGGTTGCCGGTATCGCTTGTGATTGTCCATGTGTCGGTGCCAAATAAACATTGAGATTCATCCATTTTGTGCCCTTTGATGTGTCCCTAGGTTATTTTTGTTAGGTTGAAATATTACCTTGTTTGAGATTGGTTTGCTTGGGGACAAGCAAACGTTCAAGTGTGGGTGTGTGGTTCGGGTCCAATTGTACACATTTTACTCATCATTTCTTGATAGTTTGACTTTGCATTTCATCGTCCATCGGCCTATTTTACGCTAAATTGTGCTATTTTTTTATACATTTCACGTCCTAGCACGTGTGGAAGGGTCGAGGACGAGTTTTAGAACGATTGGAGGTCGAAAAGCGCCAAAAAGTGAAGAAAAGTCCAAAGTCATGGTTTGGATGGCAACCGTGACAATTTCCCCCGAGGGCGTGAAAATCTTGGGATCTAGAACCATTTCGCGCGTCTCGCGAGCATAAGGGTGATCACGATTTTGGGCAAGCCTTGGCCAATTGAGTCACCTAGTAGGGCGAATTAGGGCAACTCTCAAACCTCGATTTAGCACCTTGATTGGTTGTTACTTTGTCGTCCGGAAGTTCCGAGGGATTGGGTCTTGCAACCCTTAGTTGATCGGTTAAGAGAGCTAGGACTCCTAACTTATTGTTGCAATCATTAGCCGAAAGGTTAAGAGAGCTAGACTTGCTAGTTTATTGTAGCAATCCTTAATCCATTGATTGAGAGAGCTAGGGTTTCTAGTTTAATAGTTTTCCTTAACCGATTGATTAAGAGGGTGAGGTTTCCTTCACTTATTGAACCCTCCTAACGGTGTATGAACACACCTTCACACAATTGCATTCTTTTTGGTCGATCTTGATATGTGACTAGGGGGAGCAATACCCGGATGAATCTTCTCTCATTGGGACAACCTCGATTTACTTTACTTGTTTGTTTATTTGGTAGTTTTATTAGTTTTAAACCCAAAATCGTTTGCTAGATAACAAATTAAGCAATTGAAGTAGGGGTACATGGACTGGCCCGGGTTTGACAATTAAAACATACTTGCCCTATCCTGCACCCGACTAGAGTTTATACTTGAGCTCTAGTCGGGATTATAAATCCGCGGTGTAGTCCGAGCGAGTCAGCTTCGTTCAATTTATCGCTCGTTGTACTAACTTTTTTGTGATAACGTTGACACAACTTTTTTTTTTTTTTTGACAAAAACAGTGATAGGGAGAACGTTTTAATCCAAATTTAGATAATTAAAAAAATTGTCCGGTTGTGAAGCACTTCTACTATGCTATAAAGCATTGGTGCTTTAATGTACAACTTGAAGTTATATCATAACATTAAATGTATAAGTTCAGATTGTACCATAAAGGAATTTGTATCTTTATGGTAGAACTTTACAACTTAAATTTATACCATCACATAAATGTACAAGTTCAAGTTGTACTATAAAAGACTTAAATTTGTACCATCACATAAAGGTACAAGTTCAGGTTGTACTATAAAAGAATTTGTACAAAAAAGTATAGGTACAATTTGATGTTGTACCATAACGTTAAATGTATAACTTCAAATTGTACTATAAATTAAAAAATCTATAGCACCAATACTATACACCATAACATTGTAAAATTTTGGACATTTTGAGAAAAAAATGGCATAAACCACTCCACAGAATATTAAAATTGAAAAGCCACCTCACAATCACAACTAGAATAAACTTAAAATTTTCGTGCAACGGGACCAAGATGACTGAGCAAATTTCTACCAAAAAAAAAAAAAGATGACTGAGCAAAAAACCATCTCCAAAATGAATCCAACTTTAAAAAAAAAAATATGTGTCACCTTTACAGCTCTAGGGAGATCTTGCCATTTATTGATCAAACTATGGGAGCAAGGATGCCCAATCTTATATGTACAAGTTATTGAATAATTCTTACTTCCCAGATGGTTCCCAAGGATCTGAGCTGTGCCCTTTTCACAAGCAGTTGCTTCCTCTGAAATTACGAGGCAAATGCTTCCCGCTGCTTTGTCGGAAGTTGTAGATCTGGCTCTGATTCACTCAGAGGACTGAAATAATGATCCACCATGTCCTCAGTCACTTGTTCCAACCTTGGAGGATTCCACTGCAAAATTCAAGCTTTTTTTGTCATTATGAGTTCCATAGCATACATGTTATATGTGCAAATATCATGCAAACAGCAACTTCGTAAACTCAAGTAGGTGGTGTACCTGTGCAGCCAAGTCCTTGTCCACCATCCGAGCCCTAACACCCTGGACATAGAAGCAGAGTAAGTGATGTGGAAAGGATCGTTTGCATAGTCCAGATAACACAAATTGAGCTTGAGTTTTACCTCGCTGAAGTCACGCTGAGACATCCCATGTAGAGACATTCTGTATTCTCGGACTAAGCACTGATCAAGTGTCTGAAATCTTCCTTCTCGTATCTGAAACAGTCAATATATGGGACAGATCAGGAAGCCCTTGCAGGAGGCAGTCACAGTGGTAAAGGGTGGCAGGAACTTACAGATCTCAAGGAAACCTTTAAGCTCAATGGGGAGCATTCTTTCAGTCTTCTCAGTGTAGAGTTGCACCACAGATCATTCGTTTCGGATGCCTCAGTTTCCTGATTAGAAAATTCCTTATCAAAATGCATGATAAAACAGAAGACACGCTGTGCATCTATAAATTCCAAGTGCATATCCTAACTTAAAAGGAAAGATTCCTACCACCGCCAAAGGAGCAAGCAACTAGAGTCGCAAAATCTTACCAAAGCATCTATGATCTCTTCAACTGTCTCCTTACTGAAACATTTATCAACCATATCAATCCTGGATAGATGAGCCAGTCAGAAATCAACTTAAATAGATAACATCTTCATTAAAGTTCGCTAAGCTGATTGTACAATTTTATACCAAAACAACGAACAAACCTGTGCAATACACTCATGTGATCTGGATGGACATGGTCACCATACTCTTCCAATGAAGCTTCAATAACAGAAGGGTCATCTGTGTCCAGATTACCAAGCTGTTGGTCTACTAATCGAAGCTTCTGTTTAAGTACCAATCCAAGCAAGAGAGAAGACTGTTCAGTATTTTAATTGGAAAACAAATTGCGAAGAGAGGAGAAAAAGTTCATAATGAGCAATTAACTGTACTATGGGTGTAATGAGTAGCTAAGCCACAAGCAATCATTTCAGCTCCATTTAGTGTCTCCCCCGTAAGACCAAGATATTCCCCTACAAACAAGACAGTTGCAAACAAAACACTAATATCCGTTTTCTTTTCTAAAGCGACAGCGATTAGCAAAAACCAAAGAGAGATTCAACAGTACCTAAATGACCAGGTAAATGTGAAAGGTAGAAAGATGCACCAGCATCAGGATGAAAACCAATTAGGGTTTCAGGGGTAGCAAACCTCTGCAAAATATGACAACACATTGATTGTTTCCATTACGACAAGCAAATGACTGGAAGAAGAAAAGAAGAAAAGAAACTACACTGCTGAAAGTATTGGAAACAATAGAATATCTCTAATGGCTTTCACTATGGCATACAGTTCTTTCTGTTGCAACTCTAAACATCCCAGGGACTGAAACTCCAGCTCCACCACCCATGGTGATGCCATTCAGAAGAGCTACCTACAAGAACATGGTTCATTACCATCAACATGATTTATATCATTTCCTAGTCAAAATGGGTAGAAGTCTGTGAATTGCGTAAGTACTCACATTTGGCTTCAAGTATGTACCTAAAAGGTATATATAACTGTACAATGTGGAAAAGAATTCCTTACAATGACCCAACTTCCCTGCAGGGGGAAAAAACAGACGATCAAACAGTAGTAATTAGCATCACTGTAAAGCATTTTTCATACTTTCACTGGATAAGAAGCAAAGGGCAAGCTGTAAGTAAGGCGTTACCCTGGTTTATGAGGTGATACAGAGCAACAATATCTCCACCAGCACAAAATGCCCTGCCACTGCCCTTCATTGACACAATAAATCAAATCACACCGTAAACAAAATACTCCATCTGGAGCTGAGATTGCTCTGAGTGGTAGTAGGATTTGCCAAATCACATCTCAATGTGTGGGTTTCCCAAGTTTGTAAGACCCACGGATTCTACATTTAGAAAAATTTCAAAAAATCGGAGGCCTAAGAATTTAGTATCTAAAATATTTCGCCATCAGATCATAGTTCCGGACAAAATGGACGACGTATTTGGCTACCAAATTCCACACCCAAATCCAACATCCAAACCACCTATTACTTGGAACAGAAAGGTAAAGAAGATACGAACGAGGAAGCAGTACCTTCATAGCGACAAATCCAACATCTGGATCATCCTCCCACGATTTGTACAAACTGTTCAATCTAGCGCCCTACGACGAATAATCAGCCAATTCCGAAAGAGAAAGAACAAACCCCTCAGTCCCCAATTCGGGTCCAAACATAATCCAAGAGAAAGCTTGAAAAGGAGAAAAAGCAACCACCATCGTCGTGTTGAGGGCATTGAGTGAAGAAGGCCGGTTGAGAACCGCAGTTCGGGAATGAGCTCTGCCTTCCACCAGCACCTGCAATTCCCATCGTCAAGACAGCCGATGGGGCCAAAAGTGGGGGAATTTTGGGGGAAACGAAACAGCCATTGCATGAATTCATTCGAAACCTCATTGTGATCATAAATGTCGACAGGGTTACTCTTACTGCTCGCCAGAGAGCCGACGCCTCTGCTCACGTGGCGATAACCCGCCTTCGCTCGCCGTGATAGAACCGCCGCTGCTACTTTCCAGCCTTTCATATCGCCTTTTCCGGCGCTTTGCAGTTTTCTGGGTTTCTTTCCTACCGCCCGTTTTTTTGTCTTTTTCTTTGGTTAGGAGCAGCCCTAAACCACAAAATCAAAGCAATAAAACTCACGTAACTCTCCACTACAGGAACGGATAGAGGCGTCTTACAGAAAGAAAAGGGCAAAAAAAGTAACGGATAGAGCGTGGTGTTCAAACGGTTTGGTTACCATGGTAACCATTTTAACCAGTATTATTTGGATAATTTGGTTTGGTTAATTTGGATAATTGGTTTGGTTTGGTTAAAGTTTTTAGCTTGTTTGGTTTAGGTGGTTTGGTTTGGTTTAAGACACTCCTAACCAGTCAAACCAAATTAACCAGTTAAGTAATTAGTCATGTATCTAACATATATTATATAAACATACTTAATACTTTGCATAACCACTCAAGAGTTAACGTTCATCCCTTTTAGACTCATAAAATATAAAGCTCAATATTGCTCATATAGTGTATATTTGTATATGTAAAATGTAGACCACAACATATGGACGCCTAATTTAGATAAATTTCATACATTATGATGGATTAAAACTTGAAAAGAAGGTCATTTCCAGCCTATGATAATTGCTAAGAGACTAAGTCAATTTACACAAACACAACAATTCATTAACCCATACCATTGTCATAAATTTTTGTTAGGTGAATACTTCTATACTAATCGTAAGATAATTGTCTTAGTTGCATGTATTTTTGTTAATGGTCAACTATAACTACGTGTTGATTGTTATGTTTTATTCATTATATAAATTGCGAATTGTTGCATTAACCAGAAAATTTTCATCGTCAATGATAATGTGATTTTATATTGGTTAATCTGGTTAACCAATTAACCAAACCAATTAAACTTTAATTTGGTTAATTTGGTTGTTGTATTAGTTTGGACGGTTTGGTTATGATATTGTATTCCATGGTTAATGAAATTTAGCCTTATTTGGTTTGGTTATAACCATGGTAACCATTTGAACACCCCTAAGAGCGTCCATGTCATGATTCTTCGTCTTCGGTCAGTCAATTAATAGTATTTTTTATTTTAGCACCTACATTTATATAGTTATTTCAAACAAGGGCCTTTATCCAATTCTGAACTTATTATTATATTAGTTTACACCTTCTACTTTGCATGGTATGGGGGGCAGGGCTGATACATACCATGATACCAAATGGCCTGTCGCTTCGTTTTGTCGTCACATGGGCTGCCTTGGTTCGCGAAAGAGTGGGAATTAGGAAGGTAATGGTCGGGTTGGATAATGATTGTAAAATCTTATTGAAAGTTGTATTAGAAGAGACGATGCTATATAGTATTGGTGCTATAGGTTTTTGTCTTTATGGTATAACTGGAAATTGTATTTTTAATGTTATGGTACAACTTTAGATTATACTTATATTGTTTGAACCAATTCTTTTATGGTATAACTTGAACTTGTACATTTATGTGATGGTACAACTTCAAGTTGTAAAGTTGTACAATAACATAATGGTACAAATTCTTTTATGGTACAATCTAAACTTATACATTTCATGTTATGGTACAACTTTAAGTTGTACATTAATGCACCAATACTATATAGTATAGTAGAAATAGTGGTTGAACTATAGTTTAATTGTTTCATTTCACTAAATTTTGATAGAAAATTATTTCGATCGGATAGTTGCTACGATGCATATTAGTTTTCTTGGTCGGATAGATATTATAGGAGTTGTTTGCTTGATGAATTTGATGATGGATAGCTGATGGATTTGGATCCATTATGGACTTTGTCCAAACTCCATTGTTTGATGTATTTAGGGGCTACAAATTTGTGGGTCTCATGGACGATGAATTTGGATCCACTATGGACTTTGTCCAAACTCCATTGTTTGTTTTAGAGGTGGCTATACGATCCGGTCCGGTTAAATTGACCCGAATTGATCCGGTCCCAGTCCAGTTTTTTCGAGAATATAAGGACTAAATATTGGATGAGATACAGTCCGGCTTTGATCCGGTCCGGTCCCAATTCGGTCTTGATTTTAGATTGAGTTTGTGGGGATTTAAGTGGCATGAGGCCTAAAAGGGTGGGAAGTTTGTTAAATTTTGGGTATTGAACTCTCTTATAAGGTTTTCGGTCCGGTCCCGAACGGTTTTTTTACCTCATATCTAAGCCCGAAGATGGGATTGGACTGTTTGCTATCCGGTCTCGGTCAGGGTTATACGGTCTGGTTTCGGATAAAACCAAAAAGCTCGGACCAAATAGCTAGCCCTAGTTTGTTTAATGCATTTAGGGGTTACAAATTTGTAGGCCTCGTGGACTTTAAGTGTTTAGATCCTTGAGGCCGTCAGACTTGAAAATTCCACCACTTTAGGTGGGAATTAATCATGAACTTTCAAGTCTATCATTTATAACCAACAATTTGTCCTTCATATTTCCTTTCTCTTCTCATACCAATGAAGACAATATATGTCAATTTCACTTCACACATACAAATATAATTCACCAATCCATCATGAAATCTATGAAAAAAACAATGTTATTTTTCAAGTCCATAATGAATCCAAAACCATCATATATCCATGATTTTACAAAACCCAAGTTTTAGGTGTCGTTTGCTTCATGAATTTGAAAAAATTAAGGATTTGGTATAAATTGGGTTTTGAAAAATCATGGATATATGAGGATTTTGCATTCATTATGGATTTGATAAACACCAATGTTTGTTTCATGGATTTCATAATGGATTTTGTTAATTAGATTTGTATATATGAAGTGAAATTATCTTTATTTCCCTCAATGATATAAGAAGAGAAAGAAAATATAAAGGGTAGGTTGGTAAAAAAAATGATGGTAAGAGGTGGAATTTTCAAGTCCGTGAGACCCATGGATTTTGACCCTCAAAGTCCATGGGTCCCAAGAATTTTTACCTCTAAATACTTGAAGCAAATAATTGATTTTGGTCAAAGTCTATCATGGATTCAAATCCTTCACCAAATTCATCAGCAAAGCCTTCATTTTTAGAGGTCGTTTGCTTGTAGGATTCTGAAAAATGAAGGATTTGTGTAAAACCCTGTATTTTACCATAAAAGGGTTATGTTGGATTTTGTCATATTGGATTTGTGTTGGATTTTCAAAAGTGCTTGTTTGTTTGTTAGATTTTGTACTGAATTTATTTCCTTGGAATTGATTAGTTAAAGGTTGAATTTACAAGTTTATCCTTATTGATTTATTTTCATTTTTCTATTGTTAATATTTTGTGTTGTATTAAACGACCATCCTTCTCCCTTTGCATTGGTCATTTCAAACCCCATCTCCAAACAAAAACCGTCTCCCCTATATTTCTTCACGATCAGCTCCATCTCCATCCATCTCGGGCCCCCTTTCTCTCACTCATTATCATCTCCAAGAGAAGAACACAAGCCCCTGCCCTTCGCCATTACCCTCTCCAACTCCATCCAAGTTTATTTTAGAGTTTAATTCGCCAAGACCACTTGTTCCTTGTGGCTAGCAAACTTAAATTTGTATGGATTAAACAGAAATTTGCAGCACCTTACACAAACTTGCAGCAGCTACTAAGCAACCTCAAACGTGTTCATAACTTATAATGATGACAACTCGCAGCAGCTAATGGAAATTTGCAGCAACTGTTAATAGAAATTTGTAACTTACAATAATGACAACAGAAATTTTTAGCAGCTACTTCATAACAAGAATATTTCCAAAGTTGCAGCAACTACTTTACACCAGAAATTTGAAACAGCATACATACATTAATGACTTCCAACTACCAGAACACATATCTGGAATGGTATGGAAAGTAACTAAAAACCAGTGTTGCACATATGCTAGGATCACTAATAGCAAATCAAACAGAAGCTACTAAGCAGATTTGCTCAAAAAGAAGTTTCTACTCCATTCCACATGTGTTTTTTGAGAAGCATATACTATAAATGAGCTTCTCATCCTAAGTCCTACCTCCTACATCTGACCACCTGGCATTAACGTAGCAAGTTCATGATGAAGTACTTCTAATCCTCTTCATTTTTCATAGCATAGAAGGGTCTTGTCTTCCGATCATTGTCAAGCAAAGCCATTGTAGCGTCAACCACCAGCCAGCGAGTTAGCCCTTCAATTTTGCGTATCAATGCAGCTTCATCATAACGGGTATCCTCACGTTCACCTAAGATGGTTCCAAGAGCTTCAAGTGACTTAGAAATGACAGGCTTTAACCCACCAATTTCAGCAGCAACAGTTGCTATGTCTTTGTCACCTTGTTCCTTTTTAGTTACTTTGGCCTTCTTCTTAGCAATAGGGTTGTTGCCCCCTGCATGCTTCGGATCACTTCCATGGCCCTTTACTAGATAAAGCTCCGAATACTAATCAAATACTAGTTAGATCTTATGAGGTCCTTACCTTTGGGGACCTCTAGCCCATTCGTCCTTATCAAAGCATCTCTGAGCACCTTCCCATCATAAGCTGAACCCTCCCAACTAGCTTAATAATACAAGAACTCGAGATTTGGATTGCACACTCCCAAAACATTCATTGAAGTTTTCCCTTTGCGATTTCGGTATCTAGCATGAGCCTCTAACCTCACACGAAGCCTTACATGAGTCCCATCTAGTGCCCCTAAGCAACCCTAAGAAACAAAAAGAAAGAAAGATTTATAAGTTGTTGCCAATTAAGTTATCTTGCTTAAATGTTCACAAATTAAGTATAATATCACCTTAAAGTATTTCCACCTTGCATCATCTGAGCAATCTTATATAGGTTCTTCACGCCTTATTAATATAGGATGAAGGCGAATAATGGAACACAAGACCTTGTAGATAACTTTCAAAATGGTTTGCCCTGAACGACAGAAATCAAGTTGTAGCGTCCTATTTTTGGTGTTGTGAGCAATGGTGACCAAAAACACCATAACTATCTCAACTATATCTATATTTTTTTGTTCATTTTAACCCACCCTCACTGGCAATTAGTTCGTGCAACATCCTAAATAGTGTATGATTCATCCGCACTTTGTCAATGCATCGAGTGTCCGACGGCTCAAGTGTGCATCTCATATGACACATTCTATCATGTTGGCAATCAAATATGCCATCTATGGGGGTGTTATGATGCATGGTTTGTATCTTTCTCAAAAGAAAAAGTTCAAACCATCTAACCAACACCGATACATACACAAGCAACAAAGTTAATACTATACTAATTGTTGTCACCGTCTTTCGCTTTTGCATCTTACAAAACCTTCTTAATCGAGCCATACACCCTTTATAGAAAAAATGGTTATGGCATGTATTAGTAGATTATCTACTATGAATGGGTGAGACCAAAATAAAAACAAAACTTTGGACACAAACAGTACAACATATATAGTCACAATATACAGTATGTTGGGCTCATGTTATCTACCTTGGCATGGACAGCCGAGTAAGATATGTTTATGCATAGTTCCAGCGAACCCTAAATCATAAAACAAAAAATTAACCGAACCCTAAACTCTAAACAGAGTGAACATGAGAATGAAAGTGTAGAAAAGTAACTCTCGCTATCAAATATACTTGGACGGAGATATAAAGTAACGACACACATCATATTGTCGCCGCTCAGCGGCGATGAGAAAAAGAATCGATAGGTGTAGAGCGGATCCAGAGGCAGAGATGGTGAAGGGGAGTGAGAGAAGAGGCTTACTTGTAGACAAACCCACTCCGACGTCGGAGACGACGAGAGTTTAGACCCCCTGCTAGCTGCTTTCTTCACTTAAAAATGAGAGGCGAAGGTGGCTTCATATGGTGCACAAACTGGAATGGGTTGGAGGGCTGCTTGTTAACCTAACGAAGAATATAATGAGGGCAACATCGGAATATTGGAAATATATAAGGTTATTTTCGTCATTGATGTCATGGATTATGACTTTCCCCAAAATCTCAGCTAAAGAGGTAGGATTTTATAATCCATGGACCCCACGAATCTTGATCTTATATAATCCAATATGCATTGGTCCCACAAGAACTAATCCAACACAATTTTAGCAACAAACATGGAATTTGTCCATAATACCATAGGTGTGGGATTTTAGCCCAAAATCCTTGATTAAAATCCCAATAGCAAAATACCAGTATATTCATTGCTATACTCATCCAAATTTAGTCAAGTATTTCTCGGGTAATAAAAAGGTGTCATCATATTGGCTTAGATATTGTGCATAACCATGGGTTATGCAACTGTTAGTAACCTAACCGGAGTCGTTGTTTTGAGGCGGAATCATCCTATGGTTGGGGTTGATGCGGGCTGTGGAGGGGCATTTTTGTCCGTTTATTGAATTTTAATTATCCCTTTTTTAATTTTTCTGACATTTATTAGTAGGAAGAGAAAGAGTGAGAGCAAACATGGAACATGAGAGAAAGAGTGAGAGCAAACATGAAATAAATTTTACATTTATATAATTGTAAGTCTCCCTCCATTCACTTATGAGAATGGTTTGTTTGATTCACTTCCATGAATGAAATAGCTTCTTTTGGATCAAATTTTTTCAAAATTATAATATCTTTTCGTCATTGAAGGATGAAAATCAATTTATAATGTATATAACTTTTTTCATAATACTGCTACTGCTGGAGCACATATATAACATTTATTCCTTTTAATAACTCTTAGTTAATATTGATGAAGTCGTTTATTATACAATAAGTATAGGAACAATGAAGACGGTAACATATATGCACAATATTTTTGTTACCATGTCCACTTCATCCCTTGCCACTACTTCCTTCATTTTTTAATGCAGCCCCTTGTACCTTTTGCAACCCCTATTATAAGCAACCCTTGTAAAAGTGTTGCGCTAGCATGTTACAACTCTTTTAAAACTTTACGCAACACATTTTTGGGAGTTGCAAGAGGTCATTTTTCCCGTATTGAGGCACCACCGTTCTTCGATTCTGCACAAGTTTTGCGAAGAAACCCCTCCCAATCTTGAGGCCATTGTTGTACTTGACGGCCAATTAAAGACTACCTCGTAGAACTGCATAGTGTACTGGCAAGCGCATAACTGATGATTTCTACTCTTCCATGCACCATTATAAAGCACACTAGAATCATCAACAATCTTCCCCTTATCTTTTAACTTGTCACGAGTGGTTTTGCGATTCAATATTATTAGCCAGAATATGAGGGTGTCATCTGCGAACAGTATGATCAAGTATTGAATGTGCTGGCTACGATTGTCTGCTTCCAAGCTGTGACGGGATTAAGGATTAACCTGGACAAGTCTGTTATGTACACGGTTGGGGATGTGACTGAGCCTAGTTACTTTGCCGCCATATTTGGATGTAAATAGAGTCGAGACCCCCATAAATACCTCGATTTTCCTTTAGGGGCCAGACCTAATGATTCGAGCATTTGGGACCCGATAATTGATAAAGTTCAAAAGAAACTAAATGGTTGGGGGAATAGACATCTTTCAACCGGAGCAAGGTTAGTCCTTTGTAAGACTGTTCTGACCAGCATGCCGACCTACTGGTTTTCGCTTTTTAAAGCTCCTGCTGCGGTATTAAAAGAATTGGAAAGAATCATAAGGAGATTCCTATGGAATGGGACAGCATATACAAACAAGATGGCCCTCGTCGACTGGAAGCTTTGCAAGTACGAGAAGGAAAGAGGGGGCTTGGGAATTCAGGACTTGAAAGCTTTCAACGAGGCAATGCTATACAAATGGTTGTGGTGTTATGCAGCAGAAAGAGAGAGAGTTGGTGGTGCAAGATGATTGAGTTAAAGTATAGAAACCCTGTCTCGGTGTGGCAGACTACAAGAGCCAGGGGAGAGTTTTCTCAGTCAGTTAGGGCGAATATTTCTAAAGGGTACGACTCATTTTGGAACTTCGCATGTCTGGATCCTGGCGATGGTACTGAAGTTTCATTCTGGCACGATAGATGGACCCCGGGAAGAGTGTTGGCAACCTCGTATCCTCGCGTTGCTGCTGTTGCCGCTGACCCGGAAGCAAAAATTTTCGACTTGGCGTCTCATAATGGTTAGTCTTTTATCTGGTCTTTAAATCTTAATTTTGAGTTGAGAGGGGGAGCGGAGAGGGAAAGATTGGAATTGTTACATCTCCTAGGTTCCTCAGAGCTGATTGATAAGGTCTGCAGCCCTTGTAGAGTAATATGGAATCCGGATTTGAATGAGAATTTTTCTGTTAGTTCCTGTTATAAGATATTGATGCAGGAAGAAGGGCAAGGTGCGAATGACTTCCCAGCTAATCAAATATGGAAGAACGTGGTGCCGAGCAAAATTTGTTTCTTTATATGGTTAGTTTACCATAACAGAATCCTCACGGCGGAAAATCTAAAGAAAAAGGGGTGGGCTTTGGCGAGCAGATGCTACCTTTGCTACATCAAAGAAGAAACTTCCATCCATCTGTTCAGTGAATGTTAGTTTGTGAAGGAGGTTTGGAACCATATCAGTCGTACCAGACAGGGAGTGTTCTTCCAAGGTGGAGATATATGCTCGATTATCAAAAACTGTCCACACCTAGCGCCAAACTGTATTGATGGCTGGTTTAAAGCTTGCATCCTCCATGCTGTTTGGTGGCTGGTGTGGTTGGAAAGAAACCATCGAGTCTTTGAAGAGAAATCAACGACGACTATCATGGTGGCAAAAAGGGCGGTGAGGTACACGATGGAATGGTTGGTGGCTCATGGTAAAGTGGAGAAGGTGCAGGGCGAAACTTGGTTGCGGGAGACTCTTGCTGGATACTGATCTGGATTGTTGCACAGGAGGCGTTGGATGGGTGGTTGTTTGTCCTCCCCAAGCCTGCGTGGGTTCAGGTTGTTTTTTGTTCTTTTTTGAGGTTGCGTCAGGTTTTGGGGGAATTGGTAGGAGGTGACTCTGTTCTGCTTTGGTTCCTTGTTCTTGTTCTTGTTGTTTCAAAGGTCTCCCATGACCTTTCTCCCCTTTTTTTGGCTTCATTTTTTGTATTTTTGTTTTCTGTTCTGCTCTCTTTCTTCGTTTCTGGACCTCTTGTGATCGCTCCTTGCGATAACAGAGGTATGTACAGACTTGTTAGTTTGTTTTTTCAGTTTTAATCTATCGCCATTATATAAAAAAAAAAATATTAGCCAAGCTACGAATCTGCAGCTAGGCAAGTTATATTTTCTCCAATATCACTCTCCACCACTGCACTACCGCCCCTTTTCTTCGAATAGAAATCAATATCTGACTCATAGAGAACTTCTTGATAGGCTTCCCCTCCCATGTGATGATCTCTTCAATCATGCACTCCGGACGATACTGAAACCATCCTCGAAGCTTTAGTAAACTTCTCCAGATTCTAGACCATGTTGCAGTGATAGGAATCGAACTAAATTTTTCAAAGAATTGGTCACTTATAGTTTGCACCAAAACATATTGTTGTTTTATAGTAGTTTAAAAATTAATGATTTTACATCGCTTCTACACATTTAATACTGCAATTGAATATGCAATACTCGAAGTAATGATATTTGAGTTGCGATTTTAAAATTATATCAGGTCAATTTTAATAAGCCAATTCAAATTGCCAGTTAGATAATTGGAATTGACTAAAAAATCAATTCAAAATTTTCCAATTCAAAGTTTTACGGTCAAACAGTCAATTTAGTTCAAGTGACATACAATTGGATTATTGAACAAACCTAGAATTCCTCATCCATTCCAAACGAAAAGAAATTTATTCGCGAGAGCCGGCTGCCGCCTGCTAGATAGCTGACAACTGGGCTGTGGTTTACGTGTCAAACTACTAAAAGAAAGCGACCAAGAAAATGCGGAACGCTAAAGCCCCTCCTCACACCTGCAAAACTAGAAGAACAAAGAAGGGAAGGAAGAAGGCGGAGAAGAAGAAGAAACTCGTCTTCTTCGTGCGTGTTCAAATCAAATGGAAGCGGAAGGAAGTCAGCTGAAGCTCTACTCCTACTGGCGGAGCTCTTGCTCCTGCCGCGTCCGAATTGCGCTCAACCTCAAAGGTTCCCTTCCTTCCTTCCTTCCTTTTTCTTCTTCCTCATCGAATCTGAACCCACTCCATCGAGTTGCTGTTACTGTTATCATCGAATTCAACTCGCCAAGTAAAATGATTTGTTTGAGAATTCTTCTGTAAATGTTTGGGTCTGCACTGCAGGGATTAAGTACGAATATGTGGCAGTCAACTTGGCCAAGGGAGAGCAATCCAACTCTGGTGAGTACCCTACGGTTCCCCCGTCCCACCGGATTTGTACTGCTTGTTGCTCGTATTGTATGGATTTTTTTTTTGTTTGTTTCTGCTCTGGAGTTCTGAATCCGCAATACAACGGAGTTACCTACGGCGACCTGATCCAACAGAGCGAAATTCTGATTCCAAGTCCATTGTTTGATCATGCGGTGCTTTAGGTTTAGAAGCAGTTTGTTGACTATTTTCTGAAAGGTGGCGTGAGATTTCGATCAAGCTATTCAATTCACCATTTTACCGGGCCATTCTTGTGGTTGCCTTCATTTTGTAGAGTTTTTGAAGCTTAACCCTCTTGGTTTTGTGCCGGTGCTGGTGGATGGAGAGGTTGTGGTTTCTGATTCTTTTGCCATTTTAATGGTGCGTTTCCTTCCCTTCCCTTTTCTTCTTTTGATCTTCTTTTCCGGATTTGTCCAATCAATAATGGGGTGAGTCAGTTTGCTTTCCTAATGGGCACATAATTCCTGTGGTCAGTATCTTGAAGATAAGTATCCCCAGCGTCCACTGTTGCCAAGTGATCTTGCTAAGAGAGCCCTCAATTACCAGGTTGAACTGCACTGCCTTCCATCCTATTTTTTATTTATTTATTTTATTACGAGTCAACGCGCTGCTCATTTCAAGCAATGTCGTTGGTTTGTCCTTGTTGTCATTCTTCTCTTGCGGTCTTGCCAACTTCCTGCTTTACTTGCACATTTTCTTGTGATGCCATTTGCCATGAACAAAGAGTGGACGTTCATTCTTGTGCTCTTGTCTTCTTGGCAGAGTGTCTGCTTATGAATTCACTTCATTAATTAGTGTAGATATCTGTCACTAATATCTTATGTTGGTTTACCGAACCTGTAGGTTGCGAATATTGTTTCCTCAAGCATACAGCCATTCCAGAATTTAGTTGTGCTGGTGAGTATGTCTCGGTGTGGATGATTAGCAGGTGGCTCACCATCTCCTTGAGTTTGATAAAGGTTAGATGAAATCGGATTTGGTTACCTGATGCTTCTATTTGATTTTCACTTTTCTATTACAGAAATTTGTGGAAGGTAAAATTGATCCACAAACATGGGCTCGGCACCATATTGAAAGGGGCTTTGCAGGTAAGTTATAGTAAAGTGTTGCTGTTGATACATGAAAAGAGTTTAACAGTATATTTGGTGGATTGGAGCAATGACCTCTAATTTCAGTACTGGCCCTGGGCAGTGAAGTTTAAGATTTACTGAATCTTGGCAAGGCGAGATTTGATGGAGATTATCTATTCAATTTCAGCTTTTCCTTATGAAATTCGTCCACGTAATGTTGGGTTATCCCAATCCAAATGCATGGTTTCTTATGCTTTCCATCTGATTGCTGCTTTTGTGAGTGTCAGCTCTTGAGAAGCTCCTTAAAGACCATGCTGGAAAATACGCAACAGGAGACGAGGTTTTCATGGTAATTTTGTAATCTACATTTCGTGGTTTCAACCGATCTCTTTGTTCTCAAACTTTTCTGGGGCATAGTTTTGTTGGAAGCACTGAATGGACAAAGCAGTTGACCCTATCATTTACTTGCAGGTTATTATGCCTGTTTAATCTACTTGTAACGACAGCTGGTGAAGCTGAAGTTCATAAAGTGATATAATGTGCAATATGAAGGGATAACCACCTTTGTTGTTCTGTTAACTTGCAGGCAGATTTGTTTGTAGCACCGCAGGTTGATGGAGCAATTAGGAGATTCAAAGTTGACATGGTAATTCAATTAACTTGGACATGCTTTGACATGGCCTTCTGAAGTAGTTATATTTCCTCTCAATCAAAGAAGCAATATGTGATAGGGAACAACAGGCCTCTGCTTGTGTGTTTCTTTTATGGTTTTCCCCATGTTGCACTGCTCTGAAAAGCATGCATATTTTGATGACATTACTATTTATCAAATTTTTATGCAGACCCAGTTCCCTCTTCTGCTAAGGCTTCACGAGGCATACAGTGAGCTACCATCTATTCAGGATGCTATGCCTGAAAGTCAGCCAGACGCTCCTTCATCTAGCTCCAGTTAATTCCACAAAAATAGCTCTCAAGGTAACTCGCTAACAGTAGAACTGAAATCGAAACACAAGAGAAAACTACTACAAAGCCCTACAAACGCTCATACCAAATCTCTTGTTCTAAACTGCTGCAAATGATTGTCTGTGTTCAATTGGTTTTTTTTATGACTTACTTTTCTATTTATTGTTACTTAGGTTGGAGCTCTCATCTCTCAGAAGTGAGTACCCTTGAGAAAATATGCTGCGGCGAGCAAACGGTTGGGTCGCACCTGTTACACGTAAATGTGCAGGCTCAACAATGTAGTGATAAACAGTGAGTACGGGAGACTGATATTAATATTTTGTATCTTGATAGATGCTACATCTGTTTTATCGCGGTAACTAGACTCTGCAAAATAAATCTCTGAATCAGTTCATGGGCAGATAAACTTAAACTTGTCCATAGATTATCTCCAGTAAAATAACGCTGTGTGTTCTATGATGATGATCAAGAAAACAAGGGAAAGAAGAAAGACTGGCCCGTAAGCTAGAGAACTTTTCCAAACATCGTAGTACAGCAGGAACTCAAGATGGTCAAAATTATTTGGTGTTCCCTCCACCAGTAGAAGGGAACTGTGGAGTTGGCCACATCGTTTAAGCGAAATACTTGTATGTATGTACTACACAGGCTGTATCTCTAGCCTGACATGGCCAGTGTCCGATACAACCGGCTGGGCTGCAGTAGCGACGGATGGCAACGACGAAATTGTCGAGGCATCGTGATGAATGACGGTCATTTGCTGGAGAGGAGGAGGGTTGACGACGGTGACTTGCATAGAGGAATCATAGGAGAGATGGTTCCTCATCTCCCTGTGCTCCTGGCATATGGCACACCAGTGGAAGCAGCAGTGGACGAGGCATGCGTCGCATGGCGATTCCTTGAGATGATATTTCTTCTGCAGCGACTCCCGGAAGAGTCCCGTGTGGATTCCGCACATCCACCACGCGAACAGCAATCCCTCGCACACCAGGAGAGACGTCTGTACATCAATCCCGCCGAGGCTGGCCGTGAGTGCCGCCGCGGCGATGCCTCCTTCCACGCATATGGCGTGACACACGCAGGCGTGCCTCCATGGACAGTACTCTTCACCCCTCACCGTCTCGACGTTTTCGCCGAACAGCACGCACGGGCACAGCAGCCCCCTTCGGCCTAGATTCATTCATTCATTCGTTAGTCCATTCGAATGATGAAGGTGAAAGTGAGAAATTGTATTTACGTACAGCTATCGGGATCTTGAGCACAAGAGAAGAGGCCGGTAGTCCAGTCCTCGTCGGCGGGAGGCTCGTAGCTCTCCGGCAGAGGTTGCCCACATTCATGGCATCGGTGAATGATCAGCTGGTGGTGGTAATAGTAATCATCATAATGAATATTAAGATCTCCGCAAACGAATGAACCATATCATGTGTTGAAAGAACGATTGTTTAGTAATTACAAAGAAGGAAGAATGACCTGACCTGAGGGACTTGGATGGGCTGGTTGAGTTCGCCGGGAGTGATGTCTTCGGCTGGACCTTGTTCCTTAGTTAACTTCACGTACCTCGATTGACCACTAGCGTCTCCCATCTCCCGCGATTGAAATCAAGAAATTAAGAGGAAGCAACAAACAGGAAATGGATCTGAAAAAATTGAGAGATCGAAATCCAGGCAAGGGCAGTGGTAATAGCCTTCTTGTTTCTCGTAAGAGGAAGGAACCAAATGCCAATTTGGACGAATCCTATATTTGGAACACTTTCAGAACTTAACATGCTTTCAGTTTATCAACATGAAATTGTTAGTCTTTTAACTATTTGGCATCTACGACAAGTGTACCGATCAGGCTAGCAGTTTGATGACAGGTAAGCTCGTAATCTCACAAAGACCAACATCAGGACCATCTAATGAATTATGCTGCCCTCTTCTAAGAATAAGATTTGATCCAAATTTCTTAAATCTAAATAAAAACAAAAATTATATTACCCACTGATTAATTGAGGTTGATGTGTTTCCAATGCCAATAAAAAGTAACCCATCAAATCGTATTTACCATCCAGAGTACCATCGAATAAAATGCGTCGCAATGAATTAATTGAGGGAGAGCATTAAACCAAAGATTTGTTTGTTGAATCTATTCCATTTTTATTGCCAAACTAGTATGCAAGAACATAATCAGCACATACACCATAAAATGCATCCAACATGCATCTTCTTGCTGAGATGACAGCCTGCAAGAACATAATCAGCACATTTCCCATAGGATAAGCAATCTACAAACAGCATATATAGTCCAAGAACTTCCTGGAATAGGAACACACGGAAAGAAAATAGGTTCCCCGGATTTCATAGTATAATCACACAACAAACAGTGCCCTACCATGATCTTTCACCACATCTTCAAGTTGTCTCCAGTAACGATTCCATCTAACATAACCATCCAAACTATAAAGCTAAATCCAGGGATGTGCCTTTTAGTCCACAACATTGCCCACTATTCAACCTCAGGCCACTTAGGTTTCAAAGTTTCAAAACCACAACAACCTTAATAGTTTTCCATAGGCCCACTGCCCCAACACCACACAGTACCATGCTGACTGAAATGTCTTTGAAAAAGTGGCCTCATTTTGAGTAGGGCTGCAAATGAGTCAAATCGTTCGCGAGCAATTCGGCGTTCGAATCGGAAAAAACACGTTCGATACTCGGCTCGTTATTTAAAAAGTCGGTTCGTGAACCAACTCATTAGTAAACAACCCAAGCTTGCGTTAGACCATGCTAGGTTGATAAGCTCGTGAACTAACTTGACTTGGTGGCTTGTTGAGCTAAGCTCGCGAGCTGACTTGTTTAGAGCTTGTGGAAGGAGTAATTACTCTTATGAACATGAACATTATCTTCTAAATACGGATGTATATGGAGGTTAGCAGTTATTTATAGTTTATAGTGTTCTTTCTATCATTTAAACTCTTACTTGTACACATATTTCACCAAGAATGATTTCAAATCGAGCTCATCTTGAGCCGAGCTTGTACTCAGCTTGACAAGCTGTGTTATTGAGCATTTATCGAGCTTCATCGAGTCGAGCTCGAGTTGGATTATTTTTAATCGAGTCCAGATCGAAATCGAGCTGTATTATCAAAATTCGAGTTTGAGCCAACCTCGAGTTAAAATTTTTATGAACTAGCCGAGTTCAAACTAAGCAAAAAGTCGAATCGACTCGGATCGTTTGCAAGCTGGCTTGCAGCCCTAATTTTGACTACCCACCTTCAAGCCCATGATCTACACCGACTGGAACTTTCAGTCCAGATGCTACCAGTTTTCACCTTGTATTTAAACATCCAAGCAACACAAATGATCCCACTTAGAGTAGTGTAGGTTTGGTTCCATAAGAATAAATCTTTGAGCCCTAGACCCCTTCTTTATGACTTATGGCTACTCTTTCTCATCCAATTTTTCCTTGCCTTCACCACCATCATGCTAAAGAAATTTTGAACAAATGCCATGAACTAGCTCCCAGCCTTGTTTTTTTTTTCCAAGGCAAGCCCAAAGGGTATGCGACAACGACTCGACTCAAGACTCAATAACAAGACTGATTCAGAATAAGCGCGGTAGTTTGTAGAAAAATAAACTACCGAAGAAAGAGCCCGTTATGCTACTACATGGGCAGCTCTGGAAAATTTATGAAGAGTAAAAGACGCGACAATGAGTCGAATAATGAGAAAAAAAAAACATTGAAAAGACACAAAGGACATAAGAAGAAAACAAACTCCTCTAAGATCGTTCCACCTAGCAAACGCGTAGCTTCCTCGGGCAGAGCTTGTTAGATGACCATTTCCGAGTCGCTGTCACAAGTCACATAGAAATAAAAGCATTACACATCATCTCGCTAACAAAGGCATATAGGATGGATAACCTGCAGAAGAAAGGATGATATCTTGCAAACAGATGCAACTTGTGTATCAAAGATGCTGAGACGATTGATCATGTATTCGTGGATTGCGCATTCACACAAGTCGTGCGGAAGGAAGTCAAATCTCTCTGCTACAACTTTCCTCAGCCGCAGGGTGGTGTTCGAGACCTTATTCAAAGATGGAGTAGCAAGCAACCCGATAATTTGAATGGTTGCGTTGTTTCTTTGTTTGCTCCACGCGATTTGCTGGCAGGTTTGGCGCGAGAGGAATGAGATAACGTTTAGAGACACAAGTTTCCCACATAGTGCAATAACTATCAATGTAATCAAATCTGCAATGGACTGGCTCGTTGCTGCGGGGAAGATTGACAGAAATTAAGGAATCAAATGGTTGAGAGCAAGGCGCGTCTTAGGCCAGTAGATGCTGCTTCGATGTTGTTTTGGGACTGCTCCTTCTCGTTTTAGGTTGGGTCGTCTATTTTGTCTGGCTTCTTGCACCTGGTATCATGCCTGGCTTTGGGTTCGCGGAGGGTCTTTGCACGTACTTTTTTTCTCTTTGTTGTTCATTTTTCTTTCTTGTAGTTGTTTCAATGACCTCTCACCTGTTGTGAGGGTCACTGTCTCTACTCTTCCTTTGTTTTTTTTTTGTATCTGTGGCATCTTTGTTTCTTCCTAATGCAATTTCTCTCCCTTCTTAAAAAAAACTAGCAAATGCTTAGATTTTATAGAGCAAGTTGATACATGATATGAGTCTAAAATATTTTAAAGTGCAGGCAAATAAAATCTTAGGACAAAGAGACACAATAGTGGCATTTACACTACTTGGCAGTCTTCCAGGAGCAAAGAAATCAAGCACTCCAGCCGTCACCTCAGCCTCAATAACGTGCAAAGTCTTCATCACCAAATCTTTTTGTAACAAGACACTCCAGTATATTTCAATTCGAATTAACGCTTTAATTACTTTGCCGAACAAAGACTTATAAGAACTCACTTATTCTTCAACTATTTTGTCTATGTCTGTTATCTCTTGTATCTGTTAGGGTGTGGTATAAGATCCAGCATAACCTTCTCCCAACAACTCGAGTTATTGGGAGCAACTGGTTCATGACATGGTATCAGAGCTGGTTTGACCAAGTGGTCGTGTGTTCGAATCTCCACGACCCCCAATATTAACAGTTTATTAAAGCACAAGGTATGGTGAGCCTGTGCAAACTTCAAGCTCATGGGTTGGCCCTCGTTTGAGGGGTGCGTGTTAGAGTGTGGTATAAGATCCAGCATAACCTTCTCCCAACAACTCGAGTTATTGGGAGCAACTGGTTCATGACAGTATCCACCTTTGACAACCACCTTTTTTAATGTCATTTTGGGTATTCTGATTTTCACTGCCTGTTGAAAAAATTAAGTGCTTCTATCACCCAAAGACAATCAATTAATTCTTGATTTCTTTCAATAAAGACTCTCTTTAGCTATCTTCAACTCATCAAATTTCTTTTGCAACCCAGAATCACATGAGAGTAGTTTCCTAATAACTTATCATGACATTATAAACAAAATCATAGTAGTACATAATAGAATTATATAAGCAAAGAATGATTAAAGCATTAGATAACTAAAGCATTTGAATGATATAAGATCACAGGACTAAAGCATCTAATGCTATAGGCAAGGCAATAGAACATCACATGAGAGTAGTTTCCTTAAGCTGCTGGAGTATGATGCAAACGAAATATGAGTTATTAAAGTTGGAATTCCTTAAAGGCACAAAGATTGGGCCCTCACAAATGAAAATTAAAGCTTTTGATAAGCACAAGAAGGTCAAAGAAATAAGCTCAAGTCAGGAGATTGAGCATGATTGGAACAAAAGGAAGCGCAAGAGATGAAGGAGCAAAAGCACGGATTACGCGAGAGACGCGAAGGAGTGGCTCAAGTCGATCAGACTTGAGGGCAAGGTTGGTCTCAAGGGGGAGGGTATGATAAAAACATGTGGTTTTTATTGCTGCTGTTGTTGTTTTCATATTAGAATTATTATTATTCGAGTTATTAGTAGTCAATCAGAATTAGGTTAATGATTATGATATTCCAATATCTACCTATAAATATGTACTTTGGGATCATTATCAATCAATCAAGAAGAATATGAAGCAAACCCTAACTCTCAACCTCTCTTTCTCCCTTAAGGCCTTCAGCCATCTGTCTTTGTCCCTCCCTAATTCTTCCCCAAATCTCTATTCTAATCCCTAATTCTCATTCTCAATCCATAAATATTTATCAATTCCTTAATATAATACTCGATCCGAAACCCGATAGAAAATCTTCTCCGCCAGAAAATCGGGTCCCCATTGATACTCACTGTTGTAACCCTCTTGATTGTAGTTGATGTAAGTAGAGCTGCAAATGAGTTTAACTACTCACCAGCGGCCCGATGTTTGTCTTTGAAATAATTCGATCGAAACTTGACTCGTTTATTAATGGTTTGAGTTTGAACTAACCCATGTTCAGCCTGCGAGGCTTCCAAGCCAGCTCGACTCGGTAGCTTGTTGAGCTCAACTCGTGAGCTAACTCGTTTTGAGCTCATGAGATGTCTCAACATTGTGGCTAGCAAGCCAACTCGACTATCAGCTTATCGGCGAATTGATCTACATCATATGAGTTGACATGTTGATAATTTATAGGATGTTAAATTATATATCTCACCTCATATGATTTTTTAGGCTTTCAGTATGTGAGCAAATATGGCGCATTTATAATTTAAAAGTGAGATTATGTATCATAAATTTCTTAGATACTAATCGCTATAGATAAACTAGTTAAAATTTATCGACTAAATAATATGATGCCGATAGAGTATATAAAACATGAGATTGTTAACAATAAAAATTGTATTATTATTCTATTTTCATCAAGTATTAGAGTACTTAATTTATAAATTATTTAGAGTTTAATTTAAAGAATTCAACTATTTAGGATACTTGAGTTCAGCTCGAGTTGAACTCCTAATTATATTGATGAGTTAAAATAAAAACAAACATGAATCAACGTTTTAGTTAACGAGTAGAACTCGAACTCAACACATTAATAAAGGAGCCATTTTTAACAAGCCATAGCTCGTTAAGAAGCCAAGTCCGAGCTAGACAAAACTAGACTCTGTTTTTCTCAGCTCTATTGCAAGAAGTGTAACAACAAACTGTCGTACCCATAAACGGCACAATGCAGATTGTGATTACATAGTCCTCAAGTCCAATATCTTTGTACCAGTACCGGTGAGATCAAGCGGAACGGAATCTGCCTCACACAGCCAACACTCTTCCTTCCATTGAATTCATGTGTCTGACCCACCCACCCCACCCCACTTGCGCATTCATAATCTCTTCAGTCACTGAAAAAAACTGATTGCCAAAAGAGAAACAATAACAAGAAATGAGCTCAGGCTGTCCTGATACTATTACATGGTCCATCCCGCCTAAAAGAAGACATCTTGCACTGGTTCAGGGTGGAAAATGACAGCAAGGCTAGCATGGAGATGACGGGCGATGTGAAGAAGATACTCGAGTCAGAAGTCTTAAGATAACCACAACCTGGGACCCACTGGTTCACGATCTGCTCCGGAACCACCTTGTGAAGCAATGCTTTGGATACGCGAAGAGAACTCTTCTGCCTGTTCATAACATACAAACTAGTTACCACCTTTCTCAAGGGCAGTTATAGTAGTAGTAATAGAAATAGCTTTGCTGTTCCTTTTGTTAAGCTTCCAATATACAGTTAGCTGTCTATCATCAGGGTATCACACAAGATGCAGGTTTTGAAGCTTTTAAGGATCCATAGATAGAGGGTTTAAGTAGGGTATATACACAACACTGACCTTCTCGTCAATCCACATTAAAGAACTTAATTGATTGTTCAAGATGCGAACAACAACATCCAATGGAGTCATCCCATCAATCGGATCAAGCTCCCCACCCTGAACAGTACATGACAACCATCGTCACACTGCTATCATCTATAAGATTTAAGTGAATAAATTACAACTGACATCAAAATTCAAACTAACCTGGTTAGCATTTAGGTGCTCTATAACCGACTTGATCTGTTCTGTCATCTGCTCCAACTCCCTCTCTACAACCTCAGCTTGCTCGTACCTAAATTAGCAAAAACACATAGTTACGGTGAATGGGCATAGCAACACAAGCACGGCACTTCTAGCACACAAACCAATGGACCCATAGGACCCCCCTCACATTGCGTCTCTTGTAGAAGCAGCTTCATCACTGAGAAGCAGTCCGCGCTCGTCCTTGTATATACGCTCAGTTTCATCTTCAATGCTCTGCAAGGCCTTGTCAACCTGACAATCCAAAAGTTTCAGCGAACCTTCACAGACGGTTGAAATCCTACTAACAAAAGCTCAAGCAACCATCTAATATGAAGCTTTCTAAATATAATTCTTATATATAAAAATAAATAAAAAAGAGCGTCTAATGCAAATTCTAGTTATTTCTCACACTATCAAGATGAATCACTTTTGGTAACCATACGAATTATATAAGATACTGTAGTAACTATTCAGGCACTAGATGGTTCACTCCACATTTCCATGAAGTGTTCCCTCGTTGAGAGAACTAGTGAAGCTAGCCGAAGAAAATCATGTTATAAACAGTCATCATGTTTCATCCTTGCTATGCAACAAACGATAGGAAGTCTGATGTTATGAATAGCATGAAAAAAACACCTCAAGTAGGATGAAATTAGTGAAAAGACATGATATAAAGTAGATTATGACATAATTCTTAACCACTAGATAAATAAGCATCCCTGAAGGTAGAACCAAAAATTCTGGCACCTAATGGCAATTATGTACTTAAATCACAGAAATAATAATTATCGACATTGCAGAGCGCAATGATGAAAATACCTCTTGTTGATGAGTCTCAATTAACTCTAATTGTCTTTCCAAGCTGGCTTGAGTCTCGACCACTTTTGCCACTTCAATCTGGTAAGAAACATTATCCATCAGATTCACAACTCAAAAACATAAAAACAATCCACTAACGATAACCCACTGTACAATACAATTATAGCACTGTATCATCGGAACACAGGAATTCTATTGCTAAGCACATACAAAGTACCTCGAGCCTCAGAAGAGCATCACGGTTTTGCAAGATCCTTTTATCCCACTCAGCTATCGCAGTGGCTTGCTTCCGAAATTTTCCAGTGCGCTCTTGTAGCTCTGAATTCCACTCTTTGATGATCTTTAACAGTAAAAGGAACGTCGGAGTCAGATAAGAATAGTAAGGAGGCAAATCATAACTACCAAAAGAAAACGGGTTTAGGGTGTCAGTAAAATAAGAAGTTGAAAAGTAAAGACACCAGCATTATAAAGAGTAGTTAGCATGTAATATGACCTCCTCAACAGTTTTTCCAGTAATCTCAGAAGGCAACTTTGGTGTAGCTGTTACAGTAGTGGCAGCACTGGTACTGGTCCTACAGACAACCACGATGTGAGACGAAAACCATGACCGTATATATCTCCACACCATAAAGAAAGTTTAAGAAAAGATTATTCCTACAAATGAGTGAAATCATATTCAGTACTAAAATGAAAATTTGAATCAATTATTTAAAAGGGAACAAACAAGGACATTCCACAAAGTTAAAATGTAAACGCTAACTTTTAAAGATACAGAGACACTAAGAAACCAAGAAAGAAAACTGCACGAACCCACTGCTGGAGTGCACAAGGGCCAATTGTGTAGGGGCAGTTGTGGTTGTCGAGCTGGGAGTTGTTACGGCTGTTGAAGATGAAGTAGAGACACCTGCAGGATACATTAGCAGAAATCTTAGTCCTACTGTTTGTAACCAGTAACTGCTTCATCTAAACAGCTAGCACTGCAAACTTCAAAGTGACAAACTTGGCGGCATGGCAGGAACAGTAACAAACTTGGCATCGAAGACTTGATGATAAGAATGCAGTCAATACACAAGGATCAGCTATAATTGTTCACACACTTTCGGAGAACCAAGTGGTTCATCTGCATACGATGCCCATCTTAAGAGAATAGAAAAACAGTATCCTGGAGGTAATGAAGAAAAGCAAATATTGCAGCCTTTGCAGGAATCCATCTCAGCTGACTCAGACAATGTCAGTGTTCTCCAATCTTAACTCTAATCATACTCATAGGCGAAAAGAATATTCATCTAGTAGACTAGTACATATCGGGACATACTTCCAAATAACAAAAAAGCAAGAGATCCACTAATTAACTGAATAAGGTTGTAGAAGCTGTTATGATACGGGGACGATCGTGGTTGTTTTACCTGGCAGAGAAAATGCAGTGAAGGGGCTAGTAGTCCCAGACGACGCCCCTGTGCTGGAAACTCCAAATCCAGTTGATGGAGTAATCCCAGAAGTAGCAGCAGCTGCCGAAGAAGATGGAATACTGCTACTGGTAGATAGAGATGGCACTGAAGCTGCAGTGGCTGAGCTCACGGCCGTGCCACCTACGGTGGTTGATGCAGTGGTCGTTGTGATTGTGGAGAACAATGGAGAGGAAAATGTAGGTTTGGCAGTGGTTGTGGTGGAGAAAACTTGAGAAGTTGAAGCCGCATTGCCAAACCCAAAAGAAGGTTGTGAAGAAGATGCAGCAGCTGGTGTCCCGAACGAGAAACTTGAACTGCTTTCAGATGATGCTTTAGTTGCAGGTGGAGTTGGAGTTGCAGCGGCTGTAGAGACTGGAGTGCTCTTTGTGAAGGAAAACGCAGCAGAGAAGCCGGTAGCAGTAGCTGGAGTAGACGAGCCAAACAAGCTAGTATTGGTGTTGGTGGCTGAAGTAGTAGACGATCCAAGTAGGGGGGAAGCAGCAGTGGCCGCTGATAGTCCTCCAATTTGAGGTGAAGCTGAACTTGCTGCGGCGGAAGAGGGAGCCGAAAACGGAGACGGTATTGAGGTAGCTGCCGCGAACAAAGATGGGGCACTACTTGCTGCAGCCGAGCCTGCCCCAAAGGGAGGCGAAGCAGAACTTGATGCTGCGGAAGCTGCCCCAAATAGAGGCGAAGCAGAACTTGATGCTGCGGGAGCTGCCCCAAATGGGGGACCAGCTGATGCAGCTGCTCCAAATACTGGGGCAGACGAAGTCGCACCAGCACCAAACAAGGGCAGGGCAAGGGAACTTGCAGGCGCAGATGAAGCCGCGCTAAACGGTGACGATGGAGTCGCGGAAGCAGAAGCTGCGGCGAAAAAGGTTGAAGCGGTACCGAGGGCGGAAGAGGCTGAACCAAACTGTGAGGATCCTGAAATTGCGGCTGAAGAAGCTGTTGAGAAAGGGGATGGCGAAGAGGTAGCACCTGAGCCAAAGATAGACGGAGCGGTGGCTGTGGCGGGGGCGGCGGAGGATGTGGCTGAGGCGAAGGGAAACGAGAAGGAAGGAGCGGCAGAAGAAGAAGTGGGAGTCGCCAACCCGAATCCAAAGGAAGGGCCAGAAGTAGCCGGAGCTGGAGCCACGGAGGAAGAATTCGAGAAGCCGAAGGGAGAGGTGGAAGGGGCGGGGCTAGGGTTAACGGCGGCCGAGGCAGCAGTGAGGCCGAAGGAGAACGGAGATGCAGCCGGAGCGGAGGAGCTAGGGTTAGCGACGGAGGAGGAGGAGAAAGGAGATGAGCCGAAGGGGAAGCCAGGGGCGGCGGTGGAGGAGGAGGAAGTGGTGGTGGATCCGAAGGGGGCAGCGGAGGAGCCGAATGCGAAGGACGAAGAGGACGGAGAGGACATCGAAGACGACGAGGAGAAGGAGAAGCCCGACATTTTTGCGCGCTCCGGGAACGGACGAGTTTGCGTTTTCTAGTTTGGGTTTTTGAATGCGAGATTTTGGAGCGGTTGGATTTAGCTCTCCTCTGGTGAATCGTGATCGGAATTGAGTTTCGAGACCACGACGGCTGATGGGAAGAATAGAAGTAGACGGAGCTGAAAACTGAAATGAACCGAGTTCCCAAAGCCCGCCCAAATTCTCCGACGCGCTTTTATTTTATTTTATTCTTCTTCTGACGATCCGGCCCGGCTAGACTTTGGACTGAACATGAGAGGAAGCCCATAGCCTTTCTTTGAACGGACAGGAAACCCAATTGGGCTAAAGCTAAAGACATAGACCCAAGTTTTGGTTTGTGATGATGTATGTTAAAAGAAAAAAAACACCCCTTCATGCGTGATTGAACGGGTCGTTTGGAAGTTATGATATTATTTTAGATGAGTGATTCTTTTAATTTATGTATTCTAGAGAACTAGCACCGGGCCCGGCCCCTTGGCCGGGAAAGTCTAGACAAAAAATATGTTCATATAACATGCTTACAATATAATAGGAAGATACGACATATCACTGAAAAAAGAAATATAATTGTTCAAAGAAGAAAAGAAAAACATACAAAATAATAGGTTTTCAATACTTAAAAATGGCAAATAGTTCAAGATTAGAGTTGTTTTTCCTAAAACATACATAATGAGCCCTCAGAAGGAAAGAAAAAGATTGGTCTCTAACAGATTTTAGGAATGAGATCATTTGTAACCCTAATTAATGTCTAACAGATACACCCATATTATTCCTCTTCATAGAAAGTAGAATAAGGATCAGCTGGTTTGGAAGCATGCTAGTCGTAGTCCCCGAAGATGCCTAGAAAATAGTCGGGGTTCTCAAGAGAGCTTCAAACTTAAGGCTGAGTGCAACTAATTTTGAATTACATATGTTTGTCTTTGTCAGTGTTGCTGATACTTTCACTGACTACTTTGATTGGTAAGTTGACCATAAATAATAGGGATATACCTTATTTTGGCCTTGAAGTTTGTCGTAAAAGCCAAACTTGACATGAACTTGCAAATAAGACAGTTTTCAAAATTTTGAAAGAAATGGACAAATTTGGACTGAAATTTATTTTGTTCGTTAATATTAAAAGTTAAAAATTTCTTCATCCATTCAACATACAATGCTCAGGTGGTTGCGATTGCGATGTGGCTTCCATGTCATAGGGATGATACCTTATTTTGGCATGAACTTGATGTAAAAGACAATTTTGGCTCGAATTTTCAAATAAGATAGGTTTGTTTGCACTTTGAAAGAAATGAACAAATTTGGTCCGAAATTTGGGTTGACCTTTAATATTGACAGTTGTGATAGAGAGGTTTCGGTTGCGATGTGGCTTCCAAGTCATTTATTTATAAAGTCTAAAAAAGTGAATTTTTCAGAAGAAAAAAAGACCACAAAATAGGACCCTTAGTATATCCTAATATTTTCATATTTACTTGCATAAATCATATTAAAAGGAAAAAGAAATTGATTCAGGCCCCCCAAAAATCCCAAAGCACGAAACTATCTCTCTTTGTACCCCACTCATCAATATTAACGGCAACCTAAATTTTGGGTCAAAGTTATTCATTTCTTTGAAAATTCGTACAAAACTGTCTTATTTGAAAGTGTAGGGCAAAATAGCATATTATACCTATGACGTGAAAGTCACACCACAGTCACCTTAACATTGTATGTTGAGTCATAAAAAAAAGAAATGTTTGACCCTCAATATTAATAACCGACCCAAATTTCGGGTCAAATTTGTTAATTTCTTTCAAATTCGGACAAAACTATCTTATTTGAATGTTCATGCCAAAATTGTTATTTACATCAAAGTTCAACACAAAATAGGATATTATCCCTAAATAATATAGGAGTACTAAAAATATTGGACTAATGAAGTTCAAAATGTTTCAAACAACATACAACCCTGATAAAACTGCAGTCCAACCAACTAACATTTAGAACAAATGACTTTCCAGCAGGATAACACAACTATAAGTATGGGTGGTTCTATCATATTTGAGTAAGAAAATGACATAAGGAAATGATATATAGACCTTGAATGATATACTCTGAGTATGAAAATGATGTCTAGTGGTCGGAGCTAGGGACATGGTACTATACCTTAAGCCCTTACAGATTAAAATCTAGGTCTTAATTCTATGAAGCTCATATACTAAGATCAATTTTATTAGAAACAATAATCGAAGGTCGTGTTTCATCAAAATACATCAAAAAAATTATGTGCATAATCTTAGTGTTTAGGGCAAGGACTGAAAACCCTTAACGTACCGGGGGTTCGACTAAACCAGTAGGCACTATGTAGTGTTGTGAAACGACTGAATCACGGTTAACCACAGTTTTCGCATAAAATACCCTCCTGCCGACTTTTTCGGTACAACCTCTGATGAGGTTTTATAATCCTTGGTTTAGGGTCTATGATTTAAATAGTTAAGACCTAGAGTTCACTCGTCAAGGGTTAGAATATAGTGTCTCGTCTCGAAATCAGGTTAATTCAAAGTCTAGATTGCCATTTCTTACCAAGGGTATGAGTTACCTTTTGATTTTACTCAAAATATGATAGAAAACACTACACACACACATACTGGTATACTACAGGAGTATAGTATACTGGTATACTCCAAGAGTATAGTATACTCCACATGATCTAGACATTACATGTACTTTGTTGAGCTCCAATCAATCTCAATGGTCAATTATAATTTTCCATTAAATTAAACTTTGGGTTTGAGTTTAGAGAATCGGGGCCTAGGGTTTATCCATTAGAGGTTAGGGTAGAGTATCATACCCCAAACTCGGTTAAAAATCATGGTCTAGATAGAGATATCTCACGAAGAGTACCTGAAGTATAATATACTCCAGGAGTACACCAGTCTGACCCATATATATGTGGTTGTGTGTGCACATATATATTTAATATTGTAATTTGATATGCAATATTCGAATAAATGATATTTGGATTGCGGTTTTAAGATTATCCTCCATTTATAAGATAGACTACCATTATTATTGAAGTCAAAATAAAATAATAATAAATGATAATCAAAGATCCAACATTAAAAATGCTTAAGAAAGACTAGTCATTTGATTTTCAGAATTTTGCCTCTTGTATGTTTTTTTTATAAATAAATGCAACAAATTTGTTTAGTCTTATTGGTTATGACTCTTGTCCTTGTTAGAAGAGACCCGGGTTCAAATCTTGACACTGATATTTTTTTCAAATAAAAAAATAAACAATTGCAATGACGAAAGTACCCTTCCTACTTTCACTCTCGTTGCAGAAAATTTGAAATGGAAGAAAGTTGAGTCATGAATCTCCATCATATATCTTATAGATTAATCGTTTTTTTTTTCAAAAATTTATTCAATACATGCATTTGAGCTGGGCCCTCAAATCTCATATCATCCACAATTACTCATTTTAAATCTCAACTAAAAGGTGAGATTCTTCCTTTGAGATTGTGGGCTTTAATTTCTTCCACTTTTAGCTCATAAAGTGATTTTTTCTTTTCTTTAAAATTTTTGAATGGCTACAACCAAACAAGACATTGTTCCAATCATCCAATTCTTACAATCTTTGTATTTACAATAGATGTATTCATCAAATACACATATTTGAAGAATCTCAACTTCCAAACGACCCCTTAGGTGAGAAGAGAGTGGAGCAAGAATGTCAGAGCGTCGATTTTTAATGAAGTTAAAGTTGAGAGCGTAAATAGAGCGGGTGATATTATATTATTAATAATTATTTTTAAATATATTTAAAAAGATTATTCAACAGTATCGTTTATAGTGGAAACTTAAAACTGCCACCTCCATTCAAAAATCCCAGCATCTAGAGTGATTTTCGGTGAGCTGACGTGGCTGATAGTTTATCCAGCGGTTTCCCCACTGGTTTCTTTCGTGCGCCTCCCAAACTTCCTCTTCTTCGCCTCACTTTCTCCGCTGCTGAAAACCAAAAGCCCACTTCCGTCAAAGGAGTCTCCATAACCGCCGTTCAACCGAGTCTTCGTGGTAATTTCCTCACTTGCAATTGGATTAGCCAGCAAAGCTTGCCTCCATTCCCCTTCCTCCCCTGAAATCCATTTGCTTTCCCCGCAACAAACCCCAAATCATTCATCAGATCCTTTTCTTCCGCCCATCCTCTTCGTCTCCCTGCCGATTCTTTTCCCCATTCTGTACCCAAAACGTACCTCTACCCCACTTAACCGATACTGCTCCTCACCAGTAATTCACCGTCGGTGGTGGTTTCGATATTGTGGAAGATCTGCTTGGCAGCTGGGTCACTTTCAACCAGTCATAGTTCCACTCCGTTCCCTCTTTGCCGTTGTCGTCGGCGGCGGACAATTGGTCTCCCTTTGGGTAAGTCATTTCGAGGGTTTTATGTAATTATGAGTTTGCCTGCTTTCAAATTATTGAATACCTACACAACCATTTGAATTACCTCTTCTTTATTGACCTCGCAATTGTGATTGTGCAATCGGTCATACAGCAGTGGGTCGGGTTTAGGTCTGGGGCCGGGTCAAAATTCCCCCTGCATATTTCCAGCAGTGGGAGTTCTTCAAACAGCCTAATCGACATTGGCCGTCAGAGTCTCCCTGTTGCATTCGGTCATACAGTAGTGGGTAGCTGCTATATTCCATTTTTCCTTACTCAATCTCTAGACCATCACCTCCAGTCGTGATGCTGCCGCTGCGGGCATCAGTGTCCCCCTTTCGACTACTCCTACAGAAGTGGGTTAAAAGTCGCGATGAGGTGAATATCATGTGTGTTTTCCCGGGTTTTAAATTTTGCGAGGTTAGTAAAATTATGAAGTTTATATCATCTTGTCAAACTGTAGTTTGATTAATTCGTTACTGTTCCAGTGGACTTGAGCTACCCAATCGCCATGGTGTAGATTAGTGGTATAATGGTCATATTCTTTGAACTACAGAGTTATGCATAGCCGGTTATTCGAGGGTAAACCCTTTCCTGCAACTAATTATGTTTGCTACTGGGTATGTTTTGTTCTTAGTTTGAGTTGTACTGCTTCAATATATCTTGTAAGGTTACCTTTCTTATGAATGCCTAATGTTTCGCACTTGCTTAACTATTAAAAATGTTGTGGCGATGAACTTTTAGTTGTACTGCCGGAATCTATCTGCACATTTAT